GTGTAGTTCAAATTTATCCGGAATTGGAAAAGTTCCGAAAACCAAATTACACCCTTCCTTCGCGTATAAGATTTGAAGATGACGTAATTTTCTACCGAATCAGCGAAAGAATTAATATTTTTATAGATGTTTTCCATAAAATATAATTGGATTTTTAAGGGCATTGAAAATCAATGAGAAAAATTTATGCTAATTAAGAAGTCATCTTTACAGAGTGTAGTTTCTGCATGCAGCCGGAAGGAAGTTTAGTCGAAAGCCGACATCCTTAGGAAACTGAAATACCATAGAATTATATTGCAGGCTGACGAGTTTTACAACGCTACTTAATTAATCTTTTCGAAACGAAAACGTATTTTGGAATTTCAGTTGACATTTAATGAGTTAGCCCACCTACTGTAGTTTAATGCAAGGCCAGAGTCGTTTCTGAGCCAATACTGCCCTTCAACACTCCATAGTCATTAACGTCAAGAAATGTTCATTCGACGAGCTTGGAAAATTAAGTTTCGGGTTTGTTGGATAGGCCTGTTTTGGCGCGAAAAGGCCCGAGATATAGTGATAGGCAGTCAATGTGAAACCATCCCAGGCGCGCTGCTCTGCGTAGAGTGGTGATCACTTTTACACGGCAATGCGACAGGCCATCCAGGAATTCACAAGACATTGAAAGTGCCGATGAAAGTATCGGACAGAGTGGGATCGGGCAAGATTCCAACCACAACAAGTTAGGGCCAAGCATCTACCAGGCAAATTCATATACTTATAACTTCAGAAGGCATAAGACCTTTTAGGGTAGGCTGATACCATACAAGCAATACAGGTACTAGCCAAAAGCCCATGCACGCGTGTTTCGCCGATATTCTGCCGTTGAATGGCACAGCGGCGAGGGGTTCGGCTAGTCAGTGGATCCCCCATAATTGCCCGTCTTTTTTCTGTTAGATACTCCAACCTAGAAATTGTCGCTTTTTAGCTTCCTCAGAAAGTTCAAAGTCCAAAGTTCCTTTTGACAAAAAGGGAACACTGTATGCTCCTGTAATAAAGTAGACGAAACTATGACTTACCTGAGAGTTCCCTCTGCAAATCTCAAATTTTTACTTGCTTAAGTGACACTTCAGACAAGTCTCCGCGACACCTACTGAATGAGATGGGCTTCTCGATGGCACTTTAGAAAAAACTTACATTTCCCCCTCTTAGAAACCAACACTCATCCGTTTCTCCTCGACTGCGAAGTAAACAGTTCCTTCCTGTTGACTCAGTTTATTCACTTCGAATGCGTGATCTTAGCTCAAGGAAAACAGTGAAATTCTACGAGATAAATTGTTAAAAGTGGTTGACGAAAATCAGAATTAGGTGTCCGTTATTTCACCAATTACCGCCACGGACGTTTTCACCGCAGCAAGAACTCAAATCCCTAATGACATTTTACGACTTAGATGCCCTAGTTTTGCCGAAGAACCTGCCGCCACTGTTCCATAATCTCCCATTACAGAGACCGCTTCTCGATGTTGCCATGACATATTTAAAGTCATCTCCTTTCTGCGCCTGATGAAAACTTATTGCGCAGGCAAACGCATTTTACGGTTCTTTGTCTCGTCAAGAATTCTTTAGTTCCGCAAATGAAGAGGAGCAAACCGGCTAATTATTTGTAAAATGCGGTGCCACGATATCTGAATCAGGGTCCTGCTCTCATTGAAGCGAAACTGAATATCGGCAGAAGGCGGGCGTTGCCGACAAAGGGAGACTGAAGTGGTCATTTTGACCTATTATCCTCTTACGGTCGTGCGTGTGGCGTGCGCAGACGCGCCATCTAGCACTTTCAGTTATTGGTGACTGGCCGGACTAATGCCTTTGAATGGGAGCAGAGAGCAAGGTCAGCCACCTAGCGCACTTGTCCCACTATAAACAGCCTGAGGGGCTTGAAGCCATAACGATGCGCTAAAAGTCGTTGTTTAAAATGTTGCCAGCTGACGGGATAACCCGGATCTCGCAGTCGACCCAGTGTGTGTGTGTGTGCTTGTGTGGAGTGACCGACTGGTGGACTGAGAGTCAGGCTGAAGTGGCTCCCAATTAATGCGGCCTCTACATCTCTCTCACTCCGTGGGTTCCAATCGGGGTGTGGCGGCACGACAAGGAACGACTCCAGCCGCACCAGTTGCCTGCGTCTTCTCTAGCCTCCGGGCTTTTTGACTCCGTCTTAACGTCGGAGGGTGGAGGAGGTGAGAGTGCAGCAGATGCGGCGCAAATCCACCATCACCATAAAATAATTCACGCGCAAGTCACCCTCGTTGCCTGCACTCTGCTGTGGAGCACACAGTGGACCTCGTCGAAATCGACGGTCGGACTTTTATCCCCCTCCAGAAGTAAGCTGCACCTTAACTGCCGACTGGGAAGGCCTGCGAGTCACATCAACTTTAAACGGGCATAATTTCGTGTCTCAGTTGTCTTCTTAATTCTGAACAGGTCCACGGAGGACACATCTATAAAATGTGGAGTACTTCAGATTAGACCCAAGGGGACCGTGACTAGTGGCGCGATAGGTTCGATGCCTGACTCGACAAACAGAGACCACGCGCTCTGATCTCTCAACCATCACATTCCCACATCTAACGGTTGCTCCAGTTCTTTGATCTGGAAAATTAAACATTCGGTAGAATTTGCCCTAATAATTAGCACCGCTGACGGTGACAATCGTGTGAACAGTTGACTGACAAGCTTCGGGGCTTCACAGATTAAGAGCAGTTTTTTAAGTTCATTCATAAATGTAGCATGCTTGGTGTTGGCGATGTTTCTATTCAGTCACCGAAGTGAACTATGCTCGGACGAATACTTGTTGAAGTTACGCATACATTTTTTCATGTCAGCTCAAAAGCAATAAATTTTGTGGACGATATAAATGACAGGAATTGCCTTCTACGCTAGCTTTCTAGATAAACTGCTTAAATGAACATGGAAGTGTGTGCACTTCCCCTGCAGTTAAGATGCTTATGTGCATAATTTCTCTGAGGCAAATTCAAATGTTTTCGCCTGTTTTTTTAAGAGGCCTCTTAGTTGGCACAAAATATCGCGGTGTATCGCGAGAAGGACGTCTACTCACCAGTTTGCGGCACATGCTGGTTTCCTTGCGGTATGGAGTCTAATCAAGAACTGGTGAGGTTTTGTTCTGCAGCCCCAGTTGATTGATACCATATGGTTAGCTTATCAAAACAATCATTGTTAACATACCTGACTTAGCCACTCGCTGTATTGGAAAGCGAGAGAGTAAGAGAGCAAGGAGAGCTCGAAACACCCGCAGGGAAGCGCGTGTGAACCGATGCTTGGTGTAACCGAAGGTGGCGTGTACGCACTCCCCGCGACACTGCCAGAGAGGATGAGAAGGGTGCAATCACAGCTGGAAAGCCGCAGAGGAGACCTCGTGTTAATTCGTACTGCATGACCAACGGAGTTCCACACCGTCCGCACGATGACATGGGCAAGCCTTTTTAAGCAATATTCGGACTGGGAGGACAGTTTTACCATCGATTTCAACGATGTCCACCGAGTGCTACACAGTTAGGTGCAACAGACACGGTGACTTGCACGTGAATTAGTTTATAATAATATTAGACTTGTGCGGCATCCATCGCACCCCCCCTTCCCACTCACTACCTGGACTTGGTGCCAAGACAGAGTCAAGAAGACCGGAGGCCGAGGGGGGCGCAGGTGAATGACGCGGTCGGGCCCGCACCTTTGCGTTCTACCTCACGTCCCTGATCAACACAGCAAATGACCAGCTTTTCGACGACGACGCCAACAACAACTCATGCTGACCCAACTGTGAAAAACTCAGCGCTTTGGTGGGATTCGAACCCACGCAGTAAGGGGAAGGCTTTAGTACAGCGTTCGCTGTACCAAAGTATTGTTTTTTGCATCTTTATATGTGCATGGATTGCGCTGTATATTTCGTGGTAATATCAATGAACTGGAAGCTAATAATCAGCTTGGAAGATGGTGCAAATGACTCAGAATACCTTAACTGAGAAGCACGTTATGCTTCATTCGACCCAGTTGTGAAAGATTCGGTGCCTCAGTAATATCAATGAACTGGAAGGTACTAATTAGCATGGAGCTGGTGCAAATGACTCAGAATACCTTAAATGAGAAGCACGTTATGCTTCATCTGAACCAGTTGTGAAAGAGTCGGTGTCCCGGTAGGTTCCGAACCCATGATAGCAGGGCGATGGCTTGAATACAGCCGACGCTCTAGCTATCTGAGCTACGAGGCCCCACTAGGAGCCGTGAGTTCATTCATATCTAGCTCAAGCTACCCATCTAGCCTACTGCTACAAATGAAATTCACGAATTCGGATACAGTAAGTTAACTGTCTAAGCAGGATTTCCTGTACAATCAACCTGAAATCCAACAGATAATCACTAGACTCACTTAATAAATAGGCGTTTTTCAAGACAATTTCAATGGTGCAGTTGACCTGACTGTGAAGAAACTCGGAATATATTAAACATTGTGCGGTCGGAATAGGTAATTTTTGAATAACCAAACTAGCAAGAGCGTAAATGTAAAATAATAAAAGAAGCATACTATTCCTTCGTTGCTTCCAAAAATGCCTCTACATTTAGGGGACATTCGAAAATTGGGGAAACGAACTGCACATTGAGATTATGAGTTGCAGCCTCGTTCTATAGACTGAAAGACGGATTGAAATTCATCAGTCCGCTTTTCACGAACTTTGTCCCATAACTGCTCATGAATACGCGTTGTCATTTTTAATGTTCTTGGGTCAGATCAGAGAAAATGAATTCTCGACTATTTCTGTATTTTAAGTCCTTTTGCCTAAAGAGTCTTATTTAATGAATGACTTAACAGGGAGTTCTCTCATTTTCCATGTTGCCTGCCCACTGCCACAGTGCACACCCCGTCGGTGCACGTTGTGAATCCGGCGAAATCAGTTTGACTTAACCCGCTGGAATGCCTTTTTACTCTCTCCCACATAGGTCGCCTTCATTCTCCCATGAGACGACAGCTTCCAACCATCACGGTGGACAGTCCAAAGGCCTGGCCGGACGCAGATTCCTCCTACAGCAATTTTAACTCATCCCCGACTGCCAGCTCCCAGCAGCAACAACAACAGCAGACTGCGACTTCGTTCGAATGTCGCGTCGTCGGCGAGGACAGTGTCTGTAGCGACAGCGATTGTGTAGACCAACCGGACACAGAGGGTGTCAAGTCTCTCTTCCTCAATCAACTCCAGCATTCCTTGGACCCTGTTCGGCCCATTTCTGCTGCTTATGAACAGAAGCTATATGACTCCTTCAGAGACTATGATCAGGGTCTGGTACACATGACACCCGGTTACTATGCTGATGTCTACGTAGACCCCTGGGGTCCCATGCAACTGCCCTATCTCCAAGACGAGGAGGAGTTGGTGGAGGTGGAGGAGGAGGAGGGAGAGGGCGGAGGCTATGGGGCCGACTATCAAACTTTTGCGCCAATTACTGAAGTCGATGAGGAGATACGTCAAGAATCCAGTAGATGCTCAACCTCCTCCTCTTCCTCCTTCGAGGACACAGGCCCCACCACCGACAACACCTTTGACTCCTCAACCAGCGAAGTATGCTCATTAGTGCACCCAATCCCAACTTTCATTCTCCAATCCCGCTGCCGACACCTCTCACTGGAGCTGAAATCTACTGCTCCGGCGAGCCGATTGCCCAAACTCCCCTCCTCATATCCCATGCTACCTACTGATAAACTCTGCGTGTTAGCGTGCCAAAAAATCCTTCATGCAAATGTGTGCCATAAGCAAAGTACCGTGGATGTGTCCGAGGACATAGTTGAGACTCAGGGCTTGCCGAGCGGTCAATACAACTTACGGGATGCTTATTCCTACGAATCTCCACTGCTTCTCCACGCTGTTACAAGACAACTGAACACTAAATTCTGGGATGCCAGTACCGTCAGGAATATTGTGAACTGTCCGTCAAAAAGAGCGCGAGTAGGCCATGAGGACCAGCGCCTCTTCTACCTCACCATCAGTCAAACACCTATTGAATACAGCTATGCTCCCCGGGAAACCTCACCTTCATTCACAGTGCAGAAGGAAATTATGCCCACAGACGATCGGGACGCGCGACATACTGTGGAAGACACTGTGGGAATGTTCTCGCAAACTTTTGAAAATTCAGTTCTTCAACTTTGGGACGGAACTGAATGCTTGTATGAGGAACGGCGTCAGGAGGACGCAGAGATGCCGAAAATTATTATTATGCCTGAAAACGTCTGTACGTCCGAGGATGATGAGGAAGAGGAGGAGGAGAACGGTCATCAGAATGAGAAGGACACCCTAACTGAGCTCCCTGGAAAGGCAGAGGAAACCTTCCTATCTATTAGACGCTGCAGAAACTTTGAGAATATTAGTCAACTCAGTCTTTCCCCAGTCCTTGAAGAGAATGGGGACACATCTGCATTCGATTTCAACAGCAAAATTGGGGTTTCTTCGGCTGGAGCTGAATGTTTTGATCAGAGCATACCCTGGGAGACAAATTACTCGACTTCCTTCGACGGGTTGCCAATACACCGATGGGGCAGGAGCTCAAAGTCACCATTTTCTGTGAGTTAAACCACCCTACTTAATTGAATTCAGTAAAAGTTCTATAGTGCCATCATTTGCATCGTCATCTGCCCTGTTTCAGAGTTTGACGGTCGCGGTTGGTGATGTACCTGCAAGCCTCAGCATCTTCGCTGAGGATCAGGTGTTGGAGAAGCACGATGACCGTGTGTGGGCCGGCCTTTTCGCACCCTCCGAGTGCATCATTCAGTCAGCGAAGGGTATCTCAACACGGCTGGAGGAGATGGCCCACATTGATGAAAACGAGGAATTCGATGTGGCGGATCTCAGAAAATCAACTGGCCAGGTAGGTGCGAGACGTTTGTTTAAGATATGTGACGCAATTTGGAAAGTGCACAATAGTAATATTGTCCTTAAGTGCATCATAATTTTCACAGTGTCTTCTTTAGTTCTGCATATCTACAGGGAGTTTAAAATACTGTAATTATGGATGTACATGCCCTTCACCACAAAAAGACAAAAAGTGTTTTTTCTACATCCAGATAACCAATAAGATCAGTACTTACTGACTTTTTCTTCGTTTTCCGTCTAGCTAACAAAGGGATAGACGTTCACACTAGGCTGTATGGGTCAAATTTACGTCTGCTTCTACATACTACATCAGACTATCTAGAAAAGTAGTTAAATTTGGAAAAAACAAATCGTATAGATATTCGGAAAACAGATGTTCCTGATAGGCTATTTATTGTCTCAGCATTCTTTTCCTGTTTTCGTCATCGCAGGTAAACCCGGATGAAGATGCGAAAGCTCTATTCAGCTCAATTCAGCCAATCAATGAATCGACAGAGAACAGCGAAATATCCTCGATTCCAGTAACAGAATTTGCCAGTAAAGTGCCCTACCCAGTGTCCACGCCACTCGCTCTTCCGGCGACAAATAGCCAACACACACAAAACGATCCCACTGAAAAGGCGCCAGTTACTGATTCACACGGAGTGAGACTTGAGTCTAGCACGACAACCGCTTGGAAAGCCCCAAAAGCTCATCGATGTCTTCCGACACTACCGAAAAATACATCGACTCCCCGCTTGTCAAGCCAGGAGCTGCCGTCGACGACTACTACTACTACGGCAGACAGTCTTTCTGGGCTAGGGCAAAAACTCGGCACTGGAAACCGACTCACTGCGCGTCAGGCAGTCGGTTGCCAAACCACTGCTTTCGAGACTGAAGCTGACGACGCTGACCACGTAACCTGCAGTGTAAGCACAAAAGAAGCGATGCCTCTCCCGCCGGCCCCTTCGTCGTCGTCTCCGCCGCCCTCAGCTCACAGCAGTACCTCGCTGTCACAGACCGACCAGCCATCGCGCCAGCAGTCAGCCGCAGGAGATCGGACGAGTGCTGGCGATGGACAGACAGGCCGACGACCAGGCCGCGATGCTGATCGTGAGGCGGACAGGCGCGCCAGAGCGCGCACATCGCCCTCGCTGCCAACGCCTTCGTCACCGCCCACGCATCGACCGACATCAACTGAGTTGTACTCCTTGCCAGACCAACATCGATCGGCGGACAGGACAGGCCAACTGCATTCCCAGACTGCCGGAGCAGGCAAGGCGACGCGAGAGTCGACTACGAAGGCCGAGGAGGCGGAGGAAGGGGTGGAAATTAGACACGAGGGTGGAGGTGGGGCAGATGCGGAGGATTTCACTACCAGCGCTGTTACGGGCACGCCAACTAGCAGTGACAACCAGAGCTACAGCAGCAGCGGTGGCGGTGGCGGTGTAATTCATTCCAATCGTAATACAGAGTTCGGACCAACTGGAGGACAACTTGCTACAAGACCTGCCTTTTGCTTTACGCAGCTGGCTCAGGCAGACTCCGCGGGCAAAGGACTTCAGGAACTTGTAGTCACCGAAACCGGAGGCCGTACGGCGGTATTCGGCGGCTGTCTTTGGACTGCACTGTGTCGTCTTCCACGTATCAGCCTCTCCCAGTACTTTTTCGCTCAGCCAAACAGACAACCGATTGACTATACACGGAGACGCGCTCGGGCGATTGAAGCCCTCATTCGCACCTCCGATCAGGAGCAGGATCCCTCAGACGCGGTGTTGTCTCTTCTGCAGGACTCTAAACCGGTATTTTCGAGTACCTACACCAATAGCACTCGTCAGGTAGCCAGTGGTCGCTGTCTGAAAACTCGTCGGTTGACACTAACCCAAATCTATGATACAACAATCGAGCATGAGGAGACGGAGTGTTCCCTTCTGCAGGATTTTGCTTCTTTTGGGGAAAACTACCTGTTAACAGAAGCCACTTCTGCCCTCCACCCGCTGAACCTTGAGACAGACAGTACAGTTGGCCTGTTGACACAGCACCTCTGTGCAACCGCCCTTCATTTGCTGCCCACTGTGCAAAGTAGTATTCCCTGGACAACCGGCTCCGCCGCCACCACCACCATGAATATGGACAGTATCCGTCGGCGTAGGAGCCAGTCCTATGTCTCCTCTGGTGAGGCCAGTCAAACCTACCTGCCCCTGCATCGTTCCAGTCCCCGACTGCCCGACCTGGCCTCCAGCGAGAATCGCACTCGCAGTTATACCCTCTCCTCAGCGCCTCGAGCAGCCAACTCCCCACGAGTGCGTCAGTACTACGAGCAGGGCAACGTTTTCCCCGCCATGTGGAGTCCTCCCCTCAACAAGTCCTCCTCCACCTGCTTCTCCCCCGGACAGACACTCAAGACATCGCAGGTGAATAGCCGGGTCTCTGGTAGCAGGAGTAAGGAGGGTTCTGCGTCCGCAGCAGCCACGAATTCGAGGCCCATAGGTAGTGGGAGCGGCGGCGGCAGTTTGCTTCGTCCCTCAAGATACTCTCTGGGGCCCCTAGATCGCAACGCTTTAGATGAATACACTAGTGGCGATTCTGGCAGTTCCACCGGTAGCCAGCGTCCCCGGTTGACGGAGCCCATGCAGCTGCAACGATGGCCGCCGAAACGACAACCGGGTGAGCCAAAGGCAGCCTTCAGTCCGGCTGGCGATAACCTGGGAGGCGAGACACGGGCTATGCGTCCAATCCGTGACTACAGCCGTTCTTCAACCCTGCCCTACAAACGCCGAGGTAGCTGGCATGTGGATCGGCGGCTGGACAGTTCGCTGGCAGATTTCAACTCGCCTCGAAGTGTGCTGGAGGACAAATGGTCGCAGAGAAGCCGGTGGAGGAGTTTTAGTCCTGAAAGACTGACAAGCCTCCTCTCTGAGGGTTCAGTTGACGGTCCAGCCGGTCGACATTACATCTCCGAGACGACTCTCAATCTAACCTCCACTCTCCCCTTCTACAACCGGCAGCGCAGTCTCCAGAGCAAACATATCAAAGAGCTCGCTAAGTCGACAGAACAACTTAGCACTGGATTCCTGGATTCCTACCAGGGTTTTGAGACCTCATTTGACACCCTGAGGGCTAACCTTGAAGCAGCCACCTCGGAGTCTCGACTACTTGACAGACAGTTTGTAAAGGCGAAGCCCTACAGATACTCCGAGGTTACCGGCAGCACTGATCGTTTGTTTGGGCGTGATATGACTGCAGAACGACTTCGCAGACAGTGTGAAAGGGAACACAGGCGCCTGCTGAAGAGTCTCATGTCTGACAACTGGGAGAAGTCCCTGTTGTCGGTAGGCCCCTCAGCTGAAAGTTCTCCTGGTATGGGCGCCTCCGTAGCAGCCCAACCCGCAATCTTACCGACTCTTTCGCAGTCCTACTCCGCTGAATATCCAATCAGGTACCCCACTGACGCTCAGAAACCCGACGCCTACCTTGGTGCTTCGCCAAAGCCGCTGACCGCCGCCAACGGTGCAGTGTTGCCTGTTCGTGAGGCGACAGTTTTAACGGCACCCCGAACCACGAATCAGGATCTTGTCGCTGGGCTTAACTTCGATGCCGCCAGTTTGGAGAAACTGCTTAGGAGTCCAGCCCTGGCGCAGCTGTTAAACCAACAAAGCGCATCTGCAGCCGCCACTGGCGGTGGCGCCGGTGACTGTTCTGACCAATCAGCATTCACTGACCAGGTGACCTTGGCGGCCGTTGCTGGCGCTGCAGCCGCCACCGCGATGGCCAACGCTGGCATCCTGGGCAGCACTGAGGCCCCCACCTACCCGGAGGGAGGATATGAGGCTGCAAACATTGACTGGAATGATCCCGAGACTCTGCTAGCGGCGTACAACGCACTGGCCGAGGCCAGCGGCGGCGAGGAGGCCCTGTTACAGCAACTGACGCCGGAGCTCGCGGCCACCCTGCTGCACCACCAACGAGAGGTGTCGGCAAAGCTGGCGGGGGAGCAGGCCTTTGAGGCACAGACACGCCCGACACTTTCACAGCCCCAGTCGACTGCATTGGCGGAGAAGGCGCCGGAGGAGAAGACGAGAGCGTACGCTTCGGAGGCCGGCTCCACAAGGACGATTCCAGTCTCATCCTATCTCGAGAATGAAGGTCAAACCAGGCATCAGTCTAAGCCCTCGTTCTTACTGGAGGATGTTTCTCGTCAGGCAGGCGAAAAAGAGTCCTACGGTAAGCCGTGCCGACTATCCTAACTTGGTTTTACTTCTAATAATCTCTCTTGCGTTATGAGAATTTTCGTCTACCGTCGTTCCCATTAATCCCATTATGTTCGAAAGTGCATTAGATAGGCATTTTCTGATCCTATGCAAAATTGGGCCCTGGTAAGAGGTTACAGATGAAATTACCAAGGCTTACGTTTCATCTATAAAGTTGGGATGCCTAAGTACATGCCTACAGAGTTACAATGCTTATTCGTCTGATGGTTACTATCAGTGACCTCGTTTACATCGTTCCAGAAATGAGTTTTCGCAATGCCAAACTCCAGGCGGTTAACCTGTCCAACTTTACCCTTCGGATAGGGCCTGGTCAATGTTGGCGCCATGAGAGGGTATCGGCAAATAAACCAGCGGTTCTTGGTAGCTATATATTTACGTCTCGGATTAACCAAGCATTAGTTGAAGTTGTGTGATGAACTTTCATGTAGAAAATATTATTTATTGGTTTTTAATTTCCTCAGAAATTAACTGCGAACTTGGAGTAGATCAGTATATGTTAGAGTCTATAGGCGTAGGCCGAAATTTGATGTATGAATATCTGGGCCAAAGTCCATCAGCCACAGCGGACAACCGCATAATATTCATCAACAGCCAACATGCAGCTAGTAGTATATTTTGGGGTAAGAGGATACCATACTAGCAGCACGGGTACTCGCTGAAATCTCATACACGTGTGTTTTGCCGATATTCTTTCGCTTCCTAACGCAGCTGCGAAGAGTTCGACTCATCAGTGGGTCCCCCAGCATTCCCTGCCTGCTTTCTGGTTGATATTTCAGTTTAGAAATTGTTGCTTTTTAATTTCCTCAGAAATTAACCACGAACTTGGAGTAGATCGGTATATTCTAGGGTCTATAGTCGCAGACCGAAATTTACTCTATGAATATTTCGGCCGAAGTCCATCAGCCACAGCGAGCAACAGCGTAATATTCATTGACTGTCGGCAGGCAGCTAGTAGTATATTTTAGGGTAAGAGCTACATGCAACATACATCAAATTTCGGTCTAAGCCTATCGACCCTGGAATAGACTGACCTACTCCAAGTTCACAGTTAATTTCTGAGGAAATTAAAAAGCAACAATTCCTAAATTGGAGAATCTAGCAGAAAGCAGGCGGGGAATGCTGGGAGATCTACTGATGAGCCGATCTCTTCGCAGCTGCGTCAGGAAGCGGCCGAATATCGGCAAAACACGCTTTTATGTGCTTTCATCCAGTACCTGTGCTGCTACTATCGTATCCTCTTACTTTAAAAAAGTTATTTAAACGGGACTATGAAGCTGAACAATAATCAGTTCTTTAAATAAACACCTTCAGACCATTATTAAGAGATATTTAAGGTCCTCAGCGGGCAAATTCGCACTACTCTTTTTAATTGATTGCCTTAAACTCTTTTTTGTCGATCATTAAGAACTTTGGAAGAGTCCAGGTAGAAAATGGACAGGCTGAATAGCTGGAAGCTAACGGCTCGTCCGCTTTGGCGGGGTGCACTAATAGAGGACGCATTTTCCTGAGACCGGCTGTTGATTCACCATGGTTAGGACACTGGTGTTGCATCCATATTCACAGTTAGCATTGCGAATGTCTCCTACGAGGTTTCCCAGTGATTAAATCGGAATTTTGCCAGCCACCTCTAGACAGGAATGAAAGTGCATAAAAGGGAACTTACTGGGTGAACGTTAGTAGCTATAGAAAATCCTAGGGGAGCTGATGCATGACAGAAATAGCATTAAACTTCCAGCAACCACTGAAGCAACTCCACTTAATCAAGTTGCCTACTGAGGCCCCTCACAAGAGCAGGCATGAACGTAAACTCAGAAAATCAGCATCGCCCACTTTTAGAACGACTTCAGAGGACAAAGCACAAAGTGAAGCAGATGTCGGGATGCATGTCAAGAGCTTTGCCTTTAAGTTGCTGAGAAGAGTGTCGTCATTCCTCGAACGTGCGCTTATGCCTCTGAACATGGTCCTTAAAGTGTGATATATACAAGAGATTTCTGGTCGCGATGGATTTTAAATTTACGCGCCATGTTTCCCCTAATGGAAGCACAGAAAGTCCTAAATTCCAGAATTTAATATCGGTTAGAAAAGATTACCTACGTGAATTTGCAATGTTGAATCTCATGAGGCATAATCTAAAGATATCTCAGTTACACCAGTCACACGAAGATCATACTCGCTAAAAATACTGCACACGCAGCATACGTTTCTTCATTAACTCTTAATGTCCTCATGAATCCAACACGCCTTTTATCTGGAGCATGCAAAAGGCCTCTTCTCTTGTGCTCATTTTGCAATAAATTACATCTTGTTTAAATTTTATATTTAAAGAAATGATAAATTTTGATCTAACAAGCCACACGCAATGGGGTTTTACAGGACTTTGATACGTCCATTGAAATAACAACGTGTCTGTCCGTCTACCACTGTCTATTATATAGCATATAACATTGTCCATATCCATAGTTGAAGTATATAAGCCTTTAGGAGCCTTCTTGATTTCACCCATTAACGTAGGAGTTTTTTAAAAATGGAAATGCTCCATTTTACGGGCTTTTTAATCATTATTTACCTTTGACGAGGAGTGTACCACGAGTAGTCCAGGAGGACCTAGACGCAACTGCAGCGTCTGGTCCGGTTTAAAATTATTCGCATATTGAAAAACGTTTGCAAAACTGAGATATGAAGAAGACGTATATTGCTACAGAATTCGTTTTGGAAAGGATTGTGTTTGTGCATGCCTTCCAAATAATTTGTTTTAACCTGTAAGCTATCTAAAATCGATGAAATAATTTGCACTACATATGCAGCCTTTCATTAGCGAGTGTGATTTTTGCAGGTCTTCGGAAAGACGCACAATTAAAAGCCGGCGTCATGGCGTGACTAAAAGACTTTGAGATTATGCTGCATGACATGACGTATTAAAAATTCACCGAATTAATCCTGTCTTATCGGAACTAACTTGCAGAATTTCTGTTTAGGTTTCCTGAGTTACACGATCCGTAAGGGCCGATAATGACTGGAAAAAAGAGCGTCCGATATTAGCCTGTACTGTAATGCTACTTTGGATCTCCAAGGTCGTATAATTTCTTCACAGTTGCCAAAGTAGTTTGGTCTATTCAAATGCCATGCTTATGGGTCTCATAAACCAGAACCGGCTCGTCCATCAGCCAAAAGTGTAGCCTACAACGTGCAGCATAAAATCCGGAAGACGCCTGTTTAAGGAGATCACCGCATATCCTTGCGTGCCGTTTGTGTTTTTACAAAAGCATCAACCACAGTCACACACCGTCTTGACTATTTTAGCCTATATTTTATTTTATATGAGGGGAATCAAACTTTTGGAACGCCATTGGGAATTCTTGCATATAATTCCTCATTGTAAAAGTGTGTTAATCGCGTTTCAATATCGATCAGCGTGGAATATGCCCGTATATCTCGTAAAATGTTAAATTCAATTCTGAACTATGTTCTCGACTAGAAAGAAGTTTATGGGTGAAATTGTAACATTAATCGTCATGTCATAAAATTAAAGCTGTTTTGGCCCCACCCGCCCGACAGCTTTTAAATGCGTGTCTGTCCGGCCTCCGAATTGGTTGCTTATTTAGTATAAACCTGTTTACTGATGCTCAATGCTATTATAAATCATAATGCATTTTATGATGGCATGCAAAATCCTATTTACTATTGTGTGGCGAACTATATATTCTTCAATGTGCTTAGTTTTAAAAATGTCTTCAAGCTCACCAATGATTGCGATGTTTCCGAATATAAGCTGTACAGTTTTCCTTTAAATAAAACACACTGCTGCAGATAGTTACAAATATCCCACACAAAGCTCGGAAAAGTGCAATAAACGTCGAACGCGTTATGTATCTTAGAAGCTGCATTTATAAACAGACAGAAACGACGCTATTTGAATAGACATTTCATGGCCATTGAAAAACTAAATTTCTAGATACTTTCAATCCAAAATCTTCCCATTTTTTATGAAATATTTGAATAATATATATTTTTTAAACAACGGTTGCAACCAAGGACTGTTTTAGGCGTGCTTTCTATAACATATGTTTGTATTTATATGTGCTGTAAAAGTCAATGGGAAGTGATCACACAAGATGAGTGGTTATTTTTAGCTGAAAGGATTTCTGCAGGCGTTCAGAAGAAAGGGCATGCAAGAGCCGGAATCCTGAACTGACTGAAATACCTTGGGCCACGCCATGTGAGAACCAATATTAACAGCTCCACCGAAATAATTTTCCTAGCCGAAATCATATTTTAGAGTCCCACATAACTTTCATGTAAACGTTTCGTACAGTAGTTTTCCACGCTCTTATTCGACCCCAGTAATACCTAGGTGATTAAACTGATTCCGCTAGTGTCAAATGCATTGAATAATGTCTGCTCAAAGTGTACAAAAGAGCAGTTGACAACTGTCTTAAAAAGAAAGGCATTTTAACTGCAATCTGTGAAATTTAAGTGTAGTCGTGTTTTGAAGTTTGCGAAGCCTGTGAAAATTTCTAGTCAGTTCACGTGAGTGACGTTTTGCCAATCTGCACTGAGTGCAGAATAGAAATTTGCATTTCCGTTATGTCCTTTAGACGAGGGTCCATAGGCCACACAGACGTAAAATCTCGATTATTAATTGGTGCTCGCCGTGCCTGTCATCCCCCCCGCCTACTTATGAAGTATGAATTTGTCCATTAACGCTTAATGCCCTAATAAACCATAACATGTTTTGTGGAGAGCACGCACCAAATAATTTTTTTTACATATGTGGTAGGTTGTATATTCTTCAAACAATTTGTTCAGTTCTAAAAGTGTAATCACGTTTCTAATAACCGATGTGTTCCAAAATACAAGTTGCGGACGTTTCCTTTAAATGAAAGAACAGATTACTATATGCAGTTACGAGGATCCCATGCAGGGCTCTAAAAACTGCAATGAATGCGGACCATGTTGTGTACCTCATATGCAGCAGTTATGAACGGACAGAGACGACGCTATTCGAATAGACATTTTCTGGCCATAAAAATTAAATTGTGGAATGTTTCAAGCAAAAGCTCTTGTCCTTCAAGGCAAACACATACGGTGTTTAATTTTATACACAGTGTTTGCGACAAAGGAATGTTCTAGATACGCTTTTTGGAAAGTATGCTTGTATTTTTAGAAACATTAAAAGACAATATAAAGTGTTCGCGCAAAGCTAGTAACTATTCTTGGCTAGAATGATATCTGCAGGCGGTCAGATGGAAGCGTACTCAACAGCCTGAATGCTTTCTTGGCTGAAATATCTTGTATCACGCGATGTGAGAATCAATGCTAACAGTTATATCTAAGTAGTGTTTTCTGTCTGACATCTTATTTCAGCATCACAATTGATTTCCATGTAAAAAAACTGCAGCAGTTTCCAATGCTCTTAGTCGACTCCGTTGCCGCTCAGCCGTTCAAACTGAGATCTGTGGTGCCACACACTGCATACTCGCATGTACGCGTATAAGTATCCCTTATATACCATGACTCACAAAACCAGTTATTCAGCTCTAAAGCATTCCAAAATCTTCTTGTATCATTAAGATCGCAGGGTATTACACCCTCTTAGGCTTTTTGATTAAATATGAACATTTACGTGTGAAGCATTGCATAATGTCTGCTCAATGCGTACGAAGGAACAGTTGGCAACTGCCTTAAAAAGAAACGCATTTAAAATACCGTCTAAAAAATTGAAGTGTGATCGTACTTTAAAGCCTGCGGTGCCTGGGAAGATTTCCAGTCAGATCACGTGAGTGACGTTTTGCCAATCTGCACTGAGTGCAGGATAGAAATTGACATTTCCGCTCTGTCCTATAGGCAAAGATCTATAGTCCACGCAAGCGTAGAGTCTCGATTAATGCTTGGTGCTCACCGTGCCTGCGACCCCCCACAAACCCGACGTCCTTTTTTGACCCGAAGCTCTGGTTCCGCGTGCGATCGGTATATGTCGGTCGCCACAGCTTCGTGTGTTTGAATATTTCTGGTTTCAGTCGACATGACGCGAACCGGTGGTGCTGTTCGATGTATAACTGATTTGTGTTCAATCTGATCGTACGGTTTTAGGTCGGTCTGTATCTCACTGATGACGACTAATAAGGCAAAAATTACTTTTCCTACAGCAGCAGTAGTAATAGTAGCAACGGCAGAAATCGTAGTAAAGGTATTAGTGAAAGCCGCTATATTGACTGTTGTAGCAGTTGTTATAATAAAGGTATGTGAACTTGAAAGTTCATATAATTTTTGCATTCCTGTAAAAAAGCCTAAGGTCGGAATTATAAATGTAAAAATTTAACAATTGCTGATAGAAGCGGACAGGCGAGTCCCAGGTGGCAGTTCAGAAGAAGCAGATGCGATAACTGGAGCAAGGGATTTATTGGCCTGACGTTTCGGATTCCTGCTTGAACCCATCATCAGAGACAGTCGCAGATAAGGGTAATCGTGGCACAAGGAGAGCAGTATCTATAGCTCGTGGCTACCGTGTGAGGACATGCGTACTCTAATTAACACCTCTCGCAATCACCGCTGGGGTCGTAATTGATGCGGTGGTGGCCTGTCAGTCCGCGTGCGGGTCATTAGTTGCCAGGATTTCGTCATCCGTGTTGGATGCTGGTGGGACGATTGCTTGGCAAATTGGCTCACTGTCACTGGGATAATTGCTCGCTCGGGCCCTCCCCACGTGACTGATTCCCCAGCCCAGGGAGAATCTCAGCACGGAATATGATACCGGGAGGTCATTGCGCTTGTTGATGGATTGCGGGCCGGAGAACCATGACTCGAACAGCTCGCGGCTCACGCGGTTGTCACCCCTTGCGGGAATTTCGGCTTCTTGAAACTTGCAAATATGACAGGGTCCCGTCGAATGAGCCGCCACCTGAGAGCTACTGTCTGCCCTCCTCACTGCTGTTGTGTGTTCGGCAATTCGCGTCCGGAGTATTCTCCCAGTTTCTTCGACGTAGTTGCTTTGTCCGCAACTGCACCAGATCTGGTAAACGATTCTTGACGTTTCCTGCCGTGGCAGTGGGTCTTTCGGTCTCATGACATGGCACCTAATGGTTGCTTCCGGTTTGTATGCAACCCCAATTCCATGTGGAGTTAGAAGACGACTGACGGCTTCCGAGACGTTCTCACGTACGGAAGAGCCTGCCAAAATTTGGGGCCGGTTGGGTTTGGTGTCTAGTATCGTCTTTATATGCACTGATGGAAAAAGGTACGCGGGTAGCCTTTGACTCTCAGTACTCGTGCAAGATATTGCTATTCAACAACCTTGTCTTCCATTTCACTGCAATGGGTCTCAAAACGCCGGAACAGCGCCCTTTAGCAACTACGTTTTGGTTTTTATTCCACCACAATCTTTGCGGCAGACGAGGGCATCCAAGATGTCCAACGATTGCATCTTCGTCTTCTGAATTTAATAATTACAAATAACATGCCTTGATTTACTTCACGAGTTTATTTGCCTTTTTACGTGAACTGGCATTAATAAATGCAATAAATCGAAGATACGCAAATAATCGGTTCATTTGTTTTGGCTATTTTTTCGAGGTTTTCTCACTTATTCCTAGCATAACTAGACAAAATGCCTTTTCTTCCTCCCACTCAAATAAATCACTTGAGAGAAAGAGAGAGAGCGCGCGGTCAAGCATGTTCTCGGGGAATTTCAGGTGCGTTAGTAATCTGCAATTCCCCAAAAATTCCGCATAGAGTAACAATGGTCTGTTCCTTTATTTTCCGCAAAAAGACATGCAAAATCTATCCATGCGTGTCATCAGTAGATAATTAGTGCCCTAAAACATTTTATGTTGCAGTAACGAGGAGAAATTGGAAAGTTATTGCTGACGTAAAGGGAATTTGCGATTACTGAGAACAATTGTCGCTAGTTTTTCAAACAAAGTAAAATGATGTCACGTGGCAGAGGCTTCCGGGACGCCTGCATGACCTATTTTATGTACAGATAAGATAAACAGGGAAAATGGATTGACGCGGACACCGGAGAACCCTGCAGCCATGTAACTTGTTAGTTCGATATGATGGAAAGTTGGGTCCAAAATACTGCTAGAAATAAACGGGAAAATCTTGAATTTAATCCTTAGAGCGTCACTCTTGACTTTGATTTTAAAATACCCGTGGCCACTTAAACTGAATGATTTAATATCCAGCGGAATAACTGCCAATGTTTCTTCATTTATATACAGCAGTTTTGCCTTTTCAGATGACAAGTAGTTTCCTTATAATTCATCGCATATACCATATAAATGTTCAAAACATTGCTTGTCGATATTTCTACTGTTCTATAGCGCAGCTGCGGATACGTCTGTTTCTTAGTGTCCTCACAGCGCTATTTATGTGAGTGCTGATTTGCCTGGCCGTGTGTGAATGTTGATACGCTGGTTTTGAAAGTTAGTATTGAAAATACTTGAGATTCAGTACGCGGGGCAGTAGTTTGAGGTAAGCCCTGAAATGAGAGTAAATACCCAGGTCGATGTTCGTTGTTTTTTACGGAATATTTTTTAATGCAAACCCATAAACTAGTAAAGGCTGGGAAGCATTTCTTGAAATATTGGCTGAATCCTAAAATGCAGTCTTAGTTTGGAAGGAATATTTATCGAGATAGAGTTGTAATATTGACTTTCTTGCGGCATAATCTCCAGATATTTCGGTTATGCCAGAATGTCATTTTTCGAATTAGCGTCTTTCTGGCCGCCCACAAAGACAAATTCTAAAAAATGAAGGTCTAAGTATTATTTGTTTTTATCGTTGATTTGCAATGCTCGACGTTTGTAGCCCAGCTGCCTCTATCAAACTCCACCAATAATAAAAGCAAATAGCCCACTTTTTCAGAACTATCACGTGACCTATTTTCTAATTTTCTTAGCTCCCTAATGCGGGGACAGATAGGCCGGCGGTTTGTTTTCGAGTTGGAAAGTTATTTCTCCTATCCCGTCAACAACGACGCAGTTTATCACAAGAAAAAAATATTTTTGTTTAGATTACTTTATAGGGTAAGGTTTTTCTGCCTGTCGCCGCTTATTTTTAACAGACTCCCTGCAAAAGCCAAAAGGAGCCTATTTTCAATGAACAATTAGCATTGTAGACATTAGTATGTCATGCAGTTTTTTAACCGTTCGTCTGCAATGCTTGAAAGGCAATTTTCATCTAAGGTTTCCTTGCAGCTGACACTAAGTTTTAACTGATTTTTTTACTGTTTCTATAAACGTCTTCCGCTTTCCAAGCACGAGGTTGGATATCGTGATCGTCTTCCTTGTCGAGAACACCCATCAGACATCAACGTCTTGCAGGAACCGGATATAATTACCGGTTTTCTGAATGGCCAGTATATTAAAGTCACAACTATTACCTATAAGGATAAAGTCGGGACCACTTAACGTAGGACGTTCTTGAAAACTTGTCATTCGTTTGGCAAAAGGCGCTGCTGTGATTCAAACACTCAACTCATCCTGCGAATGTCATTTTGCAATCATTTGGGAGCATACGGAGGCAATCGCCTGCTACCTATCACGTTCTTTACTACATGCGAACGTCTTCCGGAATCAGGACTATTTCGGTTCCTTTCAACGTTATTTTACTTGTCTATAGGGAAGCCTGCAAATTAGGTCTTGCAGTCAAAAATGTTATGCCAAAGAATCTCGGGAATACTGCAAGGTCGTATTATAAGCCGCGGTCTCGCTATTCAAATAGGACGTTGATGTTTCTAATAAAAAAGACACTCCAAACTATATCCTTCTTTAGCCACTGAATCATGCCAAACTGCATTAATAAAGACAATTAAGACGCTGGCGACCTTTCACGGCATATATATGATCAGGTTGTTTAGCTATGTTTTATTTATTGACGTAGAATCAGCTGTTTGTGAATAGATATTTTTGAATTTTATTTGCTTGCTCGTCGGCTAAGGTGTACACTCAAATAGGTCCTTAAAAAACTCGCAACTTGTAAGTAATTCCGGTAGAGCACGGTAAATTCCGGGGGCCTTAGGACTATGGGGCCCAGTGTTTGAGCCACGGTCGAAGTTAAGACGCCGGATAGGTTCTCTCTGGAATCTAATGTAAGACAACCTGTAGTACGAGAGCGTCCTTATTCTCGTGTCCAACTAAAATTCCTATCACGAAATATCGTAGGAAAACCGAAAAAATTTAAAAAATTCAGAGGAAACTGTATTGGACATTTTGGTAGCAAAATATAAACCTTTACTCACTGAAAGTATCAAAACATTACGCCGCTCTGGTCTCCGCATATTCCCAACTGGAAAGTTGGTCAAGTTGGGTCACCAAAAATATCCGGAACTTGCAAATTTAGATGCTTTTTTATACCGACCATCTGAATAAATACTAAATAGTTATACAGCATACATGTAAATTGGCGAAGATGACTAAAACATTTAAATGTTTTTAACCTTCACTGTTTATATAATGTGACAAAATCCAGACCGATTCTTGAAACCAGTACAAACTCAACCTTTTTTGACAAAAAATTGCTTTTGCTACTATCTCTTCCTGAGGAATTTTGTCCTTCAGTTAATGCGTGTGCTTTGATCCGATGATTTTTTTAAAGTCAATACTTCTTTATATTTCTAGCCGTTTACATGAATATTTCCGTGTTCTTGTGCCTGCAGAGTTGCTAATGATACTCAGAATCCCCTTTTGCCGTAGACAGTCTGGCAGCTGGGGAGCTGATCAATGTAATTTTAAAGTTTTTAAAAAGTTGGGTTCACAGATAAAGGTATATCTGGTAGTTGAGAAGCACTAGGAGCACATGAGAATGTTATTATTTTAAACCGAACGACATACATTCCTTAATAAAACAATCTGAGGACTTACTTTTTCATACATTCTAAAAAGGAATGTGAAAATCGCCCAGTCGCCAAGTGAAAATCTAATGCAATTTACATAAATGGCTAAAGAGGCGCCACATCCAAAGGTCAGCGTGCTACCGCATGTTAATTTTATCGGACAATATCTCATGCTACTCAGCATTTTAACGTTGGAAGAGGCAGACATTTTGGCGGGTGTATTAGAATGTTCGACGCGTACTCCAAGTATGTATTCGATTGCACTACCATACTGTCCCCATTCGAAAGCCCACCAGTCGAGTACTCATTGTGGGCAGCGTATCTCATGAAACATTAACGTCAAATCTAAAAAGTGATTTCGGTTAGCAAGGTGGGTTTCTAAGGTTGGATATCATGCATCAAAATGCCAACATGTTTTAGTTACGCAAAGATGCTGACTTTGGAATGTGCGCTTTTTGGCTTCCTGAAATAATGTACTCGTGAACTGTGGCTTTTCAACTAAGATGATTATTTCCACTGAGTCTCGATGCTGTCATAGTTTGTGGAAATATGGGAAAAGGAATCGCGACATAAAATTTCTACGAAAAGAGTACACGAAAGAATCAGTTTATGCATGTCTTTCGCCAGATATGTTTTTGTTTTTGCGGTCGTCGCAAATCAATAAAAAAATCACACTAATCAAGTAGACTCGTCAGTGATTATGATTTCTACAATCTGCTGGATGGACGTGCATTGAAACGATGACATACTGACGTACATGCAAGATCTTGGGATTCTGCTACATGATACTCACTATTTATAACACCGCCTTGGTAGTTCTCTCTAGTCGAGACCACGTTTTGAGGCTTCAGTGAGTTCGTTGTGAAATAGGCCAACTACAGCATTTGCCTTAGGAGTGTCTCTTAGCAACAAGCAGGCATTTTGGCTCTGAGTTTGCTCATTAACCGTAGCCTGACAGTCATAACCACCACCTGTATGAACACCGTCATCTTTCTTTCTCTCTCTCTCTCTCTCCCCCTCTTTCTCCTTCCTTCTCTTTCCCCCTGACGGAACCGGTTGAAGTAATGAAATGCGAATTTTACAACCCAATCGCTGTCCCCGCGTCAACCTCGCTTTTTCCTGCCAGTCCCCGGGGGGGTTTCTGAGTGAGATTGAGTCAAGGCGACTAGACCGGAGACTGAGGACTGTGGTTGGTTGGTTGGTTGATACTACAGACCCTTCTGCACTGACACGGATGTGTTGCCCCTTCCCCCCTCCCCTATCCCAGCCTCCACCAAAACCATATTCCACGTTGTAGCACAGTTAGCTCCGTAAAATAATAGTCCCCGAGAGGATTATTAGCCGTGTGGGAAGGAGGCGCTACCACCCACCCTGACGGCTCCTGACATTGGAGCGCAGAGCGTCGAAAAAATACTGACGCTGTAATTCCTTTTGACCGCAGGTGGGGCACCTTTGCAACCGGTTGCATAATAAGGTGCAATATCAGGTTATGCCCGTCTGCGGTTGGGGTACTGATGACTGGTAATAGGGAAAGGATATGCAATCTGCATGGTGCTTTACTTGATTGCACAGACGAGCCACCTTCCACCTACTATGCCTCAACTGTTTCTCCATTCAAGCTATATACAGTAGGTGGGCTAACTCATGAAAAGTCAACCGAAATTTCGAGATGCGCTCTCGTTTCGAAAAGATTAATTGAGTATGGTTGTAAAACTCATCACCGTCCAACATAATTCTATAATGATCCAGTTACCTCAGGATGCCTTCTTTCGAATGAACATATGTACGACTGCATGCAAGAACTATGCTCGGCAGATTTTGAATAATTCATATTGACCCAACTGTGAAAAACTCGGCGCCTCGGTGGGATTCGAACCCACGCAGTAAGGGGGAAGGCTTTAGTACAGCCAACGCTCTAACCACCTGAGCTACGAGGCCCCGCCAAAATATCAATGAATTACGTGAGCCTAGTAGTCATCTGGTGGATTCTAGGTGAATTACTTAGGAAATCCTGCTTGGGCAGTCAACTTACTGTATCAGATTTGGTGGATTCCAGACGTTGCAGTAGGTTGGGCGGGTAATTTGACCCAAGTGTGATAAAACTCGCGTCGTCCGGCGGGGCCTCGTATCTCAGGTGGTTAGAGCGTTGGCTGTACTAAAGCCTTCCCCCTTACTGCGTGGGTTCGAATCCCACCGAGACGCCGAGTTTTTCACAGTTGGGTCAATATGAATAAAAATATTCATTCTTTTACTTATTCCGTAAAAAATAACGTCTTTTTCCAATTTTCTACTCGAAGGAGGAGTATAATTTGGTTTCAAAAACGTTTCTAATTGTGAGATTTTTTATACCGTGAAATGGCCGTTTATAAAACGTCATGTATCTGCATTTACCAATGTTGCTTGTAATATTAACAATATTGCTTTGGAAACCCTGAATGCAAGTATAACAGCAGGTAGGATTTAAATTTATGCGGGAATTAGAAAGGGTTTTTAAAACCTAACTATATTCTTTTGAGTATAAAATTGGAAGAGGACGTTATTTTCTACGGAACAAGTAAAAGGATGAATATTTTTATGCGTTTGTTTTTCATAAAATATAATTAAACTCTCAAGTGCATTGAAAATCAATGAGAAAAATTCATGCTACTTACGTGGCCATTTTTTACAGAGCGTAGTTTTTGCATGCAGCCAGGAGGAAGTTCATTCGAAAGCCGCCACCCTGCGGTAACTGGATCATTATAGAATTATGTGGGACGGTGATTAGTTTTACAGCCCTATTTTATTAATCTTTTCGAAACGAGAACGCATTTCGAAATTTCGGTTGACATTTCATGAGTAAGCCCACCTACTGTAAGTTGTGGGTGAGCGCTCATTGAGCGGTTTATGGCATGGGCTCGTCCCGCTGGGTTTTGGGGCTCAGTCCAGCATCCTCGCAGGCATTCGCATAAAGACTAGTAGTATAGGCAATTGCTATCCTACCGACAAAGGCAACGGAGACCGGAATGGCCATTTCTGGCTTATTAGCCGTCATCAGCCAGTCATGTCCAACTCCCCCGGTTTTTTAGACCTCAGGTGCAAAGCCGAGTTCTATGATCATCAAGTGTTGAGTAGCACGGCGCTCTTACACTTGGACACTAGACCGTTTTCCTATCGATTTTTGATAGGATATAGTAACTGTCGGGTCCAAAGGCACAACGGGACGAGAACGTCACATAATCTGATCGATGAGTGCTCCTCTACAGCGGGCACGGGATTAGCGGTAGCACATTTGATTGCTTAATGCCCAAGGACTAAAATCTAGTGTTCGCCCCTCAGGTCTCTCAAACCTAGGACTTGACATGACTAACGGACGATGGCTAGTAAGCTAGAACTGACCGTCCAGAATTCCATTTTCTTCGTCGGTAGCTCATTACCTGCACATATAAGTGCATATATCTTGCTAAGGTGTGTTTGTCTAATCGTCACGTACAGAAATCTTAAGGAACGCCCATTTCAACACATCCCAACGGGCGTATGGGACAATTTAAAGAGTCTACAATATTGATAGATGTGGGTTAGGTATATGCGCAGAGAGATTAAAGATTATGGAGAACTTTCTATAATATTTTTAAACGTAGATGTCTTCACTGGTCGATATGGCCACGGGTAGTTAGTGCTGCCGAAATGTCTACATTGGTTCACTGTTCTGCACCCTAACACGCAGTTATTTCGTAAGAGCTTGAAACGGAGAGTAGTCGGGTAGTGAAAAAATAGTCTAAATATTGATATATGGTATGCACACATCTGCCAGTAAAGCAGGAGTATAAAAACGCTGGTGAATTTGTCAAACAACAGTTAGCATTTTCTTACTCCATGCATACACTTAATCCCTACCTGTTGCTACTTGAAAGCAAGACACCCCTAAGAAGAATGCACAGCTCAATCAACCTGACTGTTGTTCAACCTGGAGTGTCTATATTGAAGGTCGCCATTTTAACATAGCGCACCTCCTCTTTAGCCTTTGAAGGAGATTTTCTCAGATACGAATCTCCATAGATCTCTTCACGACACTGAGCCCCTGTTTAAACAGTATTACTGGTGAACTTCTGTTCTTTGCGCAGTCTTCATACCGACTTAAAAATAAAGTCAATTTTTACGAGCGGAGTTCACAGTTTCGTGTTTTTTTAGACCACCAGGCTAGTTCGGTACCATGAAATGTACATTCTAAAAGGAAGTTTACAGAGGCAAGATGAATCTCGTGTATGCTATCGAAAGGATGAGGGGAAAATATAAAAAATATTTTGGTGATTAGGGTTACGATAATCTATGGAAGCTTAAGAGTCCTGTGATGACGTTGAAAATGGTTATGCGGAAAGGGCTAGTAAGGGTAGTGTAGTCAGGAAAATTATGAATCATTATTACACACTGCGTCATGCATTTTGAATCCGTCGTTTTTAATGTGCTAGTTTCCGACAATATGAATCGAGAAAAGTTGGGATGTTACAAAAGACCTTTAGTTATATCAGGTTTTCGGGAAAGTGCTATTTGTTAGTCTTAACTTTCGTCCGCTGAACGTGGGAACGTGAAGGTTATCTGTGATTTTTATATTTTAGAAGATGCGATATAATTTTTAAATAATTTTGGTACACTGGATGTATGTAGGATTTATGCAAAGAGCAACCACATTATTCAATATCAGGAAAGTAAAATTACTTTTTCTTAGTTTAAAGTCAGCAGATTTTCTGTTTTTTTGCATAGACGGACGAGATGCTACGAGGACGAATCAAGTCGCATCTTCAAACGGAGCACCAGCGTCAGCTTCAATAAACAAGGTTAGTTGTAGCATTACTTACAAAAGGGTGGTGAACTTTTAATAGACGTTTTACGAAGAATAGTTTACTCTCCACGACCCTCTGTACACTAGCGCATCTAAGGCTCCAATTCACTGACGACACTGAGGTTATGAAACCATGTAAATAATGGCGATTAACGATATGTGGGTGATAGTTGGCGCTCTTTTTAAAAAAGATGCCTAAACTGCGCCAGGAAACTACTATTTCTCATCCTTTAAGTGTCGACCTGAAGCTAAACGTCACGCTCATTAAAACCCAGAACATCTTTATAGACGACCTAGCAGTCATTTCGGCCTCCAACATCGTGGTTCAGTGTCACCGTCACGAGGTTGCCGCACGCCCATTCAACGGCTCTCTTTGATCGACTCCCCAAACTAGAAATTAGCGGGAGGCGTGGGAGGAAATAATAATTTGCGGTATTCTGCGGCGTATGCAGAGCAATAAAAGGACATTTGGCGATGCTCAAGGTCGGACTGGAATTCAACCAATCAGATAGCGTCACTGAGTGGTAAGCAGGTCTCCTGGGCTTTTGACCTATTTGGCTAGTTGAACAAAGCTCCAGTCCTGTCGGAGTCTGTTGTGACATCATCACGCGCACGATATGGACAGATCATCAGGGCGGCCCCTCGTAACATTCAACATGTTCTGCGCATGAAAAATAAGTGTCGTCCCAGTTACTCAATTTCTAACGCAAAGGTGAGTTTACCGGCCAAACTTCTGATTCACAGTATTCTTCCGATGTCTGCTGAAGGGGGACTGAAAAATTAAGCTAGTGTATACATTTGTCCCTCAACGACGCCCAGTAGGCGTTTGCTTACGAGAAGGGGATAAGAGTAAAAGGCCAAGACGAGGCCATTCGAGTGCTGATGATTTCAAGTGACTGCGGGACGGATCTGTCTCTCTTGTACAACTAGTGGTTCCATATCCCGCCCTCAAGAATGGCGTAGGCGTAGAGTCAACCGGTAGGGACAGACTTGATACAGTTTGCGAATCGAAACAAACTGACGACTGTCGTGACCTAGTCGCGTCGGAAACATTCGAATTGCCTTTGAATGTAGCCTTGATAACGATGGCCATTATACTGTTGCTGGTGGTGGTGGTGGTGGTGGTGGTGATGGTGATCGTATGAGTAAAACCATCGTGACCAGTAAAAGGGGACTCGCACCTATACTTAGTGCTGACCATGCGTGCCTCATCTACAAAGGCCTTCACTGCAAGCAACGTTTAATTCAATAGTAAGACTGCTGGCTTTTCGTATTCCTCGAACTTGCAGACCAGATTTATTCTGATGCCGGTGTTTAGACGCCCGGTTGCCTGGTGGATATTTAGCTTACAGGTACTCTTTCTATAGATACAAGAACTATTAGCACGTGGAAAAAAGCTCCAATTTGTTGTAGCCCACGTGAAACCTCATAAAGTAAATGGTTATTTAGAGCTAAACAGACTTAATCGGTCTTGGCTATCAGATGGTCATTCCACTTAAGCAGCGTCGTCGTGCGCCGCTGACTATGCGCCTGCACGGCGGATAATTGCGTCGACGACAGTGAAATGCTCAGAGAAATCCGTCAACAAGGACTTCTGGCTTTAAAAGGAGCCTATCCTGACGTCTCTAGCCTTCCACTTCTATAACAAATTTTGCTTCCGCGGGTGTTAGTCAGCAACAGTCTTTCCGCAGGAGACATCAACAGGAAATAGCTGATGCATCGAGTTGAGACACCAGCAGGATTTCCGATAGAAGCGAAAGGGCGAGTTCCGGGAAACAGTTGAGAAGAAAGCGAAGCGATTACTGGGGCAAGAAGTCTCGTCGTCGGACGTTTCGAATCCCCACTCTGACCACTCATCGAAAACAGTCGCAGGCAAGGATTACGGACGTACAAGAGGTCTCTGACAATGTTTTTGAGCAAGTATAATTCTTGTTTTAGTGATCGCAGGAATTAAAAACATGTCTCAAATGCAAGGCACTACAGTAGGGTATCTTTTTTCTTCTCTACTTTCGTGAATAGGAAGGGGTGGGATATGAGCTAAAACTGGCCCACAACTTTCTGAGGGACAGCGGGAAAATTTCGGTGAATTTGCGGGGTTTAAACTGCTAGAGCTCGAGATGTTGACTTCCGGCTGACGTCTTTTGCCAATAGAGGCGAAGAGGCGAGTCCCAGGAAGCAGTCGTGAAGAAGGAGGCACGATCGCTGGGACAAGAAGTTTATTCGCCTGACATTTCGGATTCCTGCTCGAACCCATCATAAGAGACAAAAGCAGATATGGGAGGTTCATGCACAAGGGGCTGCAGTACTTATAGGATGCAGTCGCCGTGCTACCGCGTACCAATGAATATTCGCGGCTCCTCCCTTTCATCAGGGAGCGTTGCATTTGGTGTGCTTACTGTTTGATGGCCGACATTCGCATCGTTAATTGCTTCAATTTCATCACGTGCGTTGGATGTTGGCGTGATGATTGCTCGACCATCTGACGCATCGACCCCGGTGTTGGGAAAAGTGTTCACCTGTGGGGTCCCCGCGTGGCCAATTACTCCGCCTAGGCGAAGTTTCAGCGCCGAGTATGGAAGGGGAAGGTCGTTGCGCTTGTTAATAGACTGCGGGCCAATAAACCATGACTCAAGCAGCTCCCGGCTCACGCGGTTGTCACTTCTAGTAAGAATTTCGGCCTCGTAGAATTTGAATGTGTGGCCGGATCTCGTCGAATGGGCCGCAACTTGTGAACTGGCGTCATTTCTCCTTACTGTTGCACCATATTCGACCATTCGCGTTCAGAGCTGTCTTCCGGTTTCTCCGACGTATTTGCTTTGTCCGCAAATGCACAAGATTCGATAAGCAACTCCAGACGTTTCTTGCCGTGGCAGCGGGTCGTTCGACTTCACTACTGCACCCCTTGCCTGCCAGCTGACTATTTTTGCATTGTTTTTGTGTTTTCGCTGTAAACAGTTTCAACCCTACCGACTGTTTACGCTTTTCCCGCTCAAGTCTGCTTACAATCGGACCTGATAGGTAGAAAGAGTCCTCTTGGAGTCACGGTTTGTTGCCAATGTGATTTGCCTCAATAGACACTTGTTAGCCAAGGGGAAGTGACGCCAAGACCCGCGGTCGTCTCCCCCTCCCCGCCCTCACCAAATACCGTCTGCTCACGTGAGGTCTAATCTCCGTCGGGCTCTTCTTTTTCCGCTTCCTCTCTCTCGTGCATAAACAAAAATAGAGGAAGCGGATGACTGGAGAAAATGCGGGAAAATTGGAAAAATTGACGGCTCAAAAGACCGTCGGAGCGGCGATTTAAGGGTAGGGAGGTGAGGGTGGGGGGCGAGGCGGGGAGCGTGCATGGGTCGTCTCCTCGGTCGCGCATACTCAGCCGGATAATATGTCCGCACCGACGCGTGCGGCATCCGAGCAGCCTCGGCAGTTTGGCCTGAGAAGGGAAGGGGAGAGAGGGGTGCAGACAACCCACGCACGAACTACAACGCATTTTGGGGGCGAGAGACAGAGAGAGCCGGAGGACGTGCCTGCAAGCGCAAACCTAGACTTGCTGAACAAAAATGAATGGGTAATTGTACGCACTTCTGAACGGCAGTAAATGCAGTGTACTCGGCTGGAAAGAAAAAAGCATTGACTGAGGGGGCGCGGGCGACCAATGGTTGTACTGACAGCGAGTAAAATTGCGGAGTAATCAGTGCTCAAAAAATCAATAACGGTGATAAGAGCACAGTGACCAAATGACAGTTGGAATATCGTGGTCGAAGATGTCCACCGTGTGCCCCAGAGCAGAGTGAAGGCAGGGACCGTTGTTTGCGCGCAAAATAGCTTAAAGTGAGAGTGGGTTTACGCAGCATCTACCGCACTCTCTCCTGCCTCACCTGGGCCCGGTGTCATGACTAGATCAAAAAAAAAACCGTAGGTGAGAGTAAGCGCAGGTGGCTGGCACGGCTGCACTCGCACCCAGGGGTACCTCCACACTCCCTGGTCCACAACAAACACTTGCCCGGGATTTTAGCCAACAAAAACAATGAGGGTCGACAGGGGTCCCAATTGACGCGACGTGAGCCGGTGGCAACTGGACCTGCCACCGCATCCCGATGGCTGGCATTTGTTATGCGTGTGTACTCCCGATAACACCTGCCATAATCCGATTTTCAGCGCATCTGCCGCGTGACTCGTTTTGCGGACACACACACGGACTAACCAGTAGGCTGTGGATCACATCAAATACGACCCTCCAGCCATGAACGCAGGTGCTGCCACTAATGCGGATGTGGTGGTCGGAATTTGGGTCTTATAAATACTGCGTCTCCCGGTGCATCCATCACCCCTGTCTGCGACGGCTTCTGATGAGAGGTTCTAGTGAGAATCCGAACATCTTCCTCCACTTTTCACTGGGGATCTTTAATAGCGTGCAACGATATTTGTTAATACTTACATTAGTCCGGCTCCGTGCAGCATTCTGAGATGGGCTAGAAGTTCAAGCGGGTTCATTAAAAACAGTAGGAGTGAAGACACCGCTTATCGTTCGTCGTTCCTATTGGCTGAAATTGCCTTGCTGCCTGACAGCATGTAAACTTGTCATCGACGGCTTATTCAAGCCGCATTATTTTTCCAAAATTACTTTTCATTCATTCTTTGATTACCGCGTTAACTTTCCTTCGTTATGCAGCAGTGCATGTTAAGTTTTTCGGCCGAAATTCAAGTATCTTCTGGGCTTCCTTGAATTCCACCATTCGTCCTGCGTGCGTGCTATCCTACCCATAAAATCACCATTACCACAATTCCCGTAAGATACCGACAATCGACTAACGGTCCGTCTTTGAGTTCTACAACCTCCTATTGCCGATGTTGGCTCTGCGTCAAGTCAGTCGCTGCGCCCAATCTCAACTCAGTCCGGTTTGACCCGCACATATCACTGGTGAGTAGGACAGGGAAGAGAGGGTGTAGTGTTGATGCAGCCTCGTGCGTTTCTTGTCTGCAAACCAGCAAACGCGTCCTTCGGCTCTCAGGAACTGATGCAAGTTTTGACTCGGAAGGCCGTAATCTGATCAGTTGTTAATGTTGCCATTGTAGCAATCCCTCGTGAGACTCCAAAAGTCCTCCTGAATGAAGCCTGTTGTCTGCAGTGCCCTGTATGACATTCTCCCCCATGCGAGGTAAGAGACGCCCAAGTAACTGCAGCCTGCCAGATACGGGTCGGAGACTGTTGTGAGCAGGCAGTGTGAGTGTGTCCCCGTCTGTGCTCAGAGCGCTACTATCGTCGGGTCAGATCCCAAGTTGAGGGGGGAAGATGGAAGGCACCAGAATGAGGGGGTTATTTTGCACAGAACCCGGAGTCGTCCTCTCAGACGGCAGTGGCCACTGGCGAAGCCAGGGCTGGTGTTGACTGCGTCCAGTCATGCCTGAGAGTCCCTGAAATTGTGGTGGCAGCCGCTTTTGTAGGCTCGTGGCCCAACTTCAAGTGGCGTCCAGTCAGTGTGCGTTGCATTTGCCGAGGGGTGGTGTCCGAGTGTCTTGGCTTGTGGTTGCAGGGGGTGGCGCGTTCAAGTGGCGCATGGGTAGTCGTGACTGTGCAGACGCAGGTATGCTCGAGCTGTCGGTCGCGTGACTTCAGATCAGTGCATCTGGAACGGCTCACTGCACAGGGGTGGATGACTTTGGGGCAGCGAGGTCTTGAACAATGACGCCAGACCGGTCACGATGGCTGCCCGCTACAAGACAAGTTCGTGTGTGGGACGGGGAGATGAAATGGTTGGCTTTGTCAACCACTGCATCCACATACACCTCCAATCGTCTTGGCTTTGTTATGGCATCGGAGGACGGCGATTGGACAAGGAGGGAGTGATGTGGCTGTCGCGAATGCCTGCCTTCCCGTGAACGTATTCACTGGCAGGTCAGACCTGCACAGACCACGTGGGACATTGGCGGGCTTCGTCGTCCGCGACAATCAAAATCATCTAGACAGGGACTCAGATCTTGAATTTGGAGAATTTGCTTCAGGCTCATTAATTGATTTCCGGAAAAATCAATAGAAATAACTGTAGAAACTGAAGCACAGACCCGAAAGCGACTTGATCCGCTAAATAGAAATAAAGTCGCTGCATCGGAGCTAAATGTGGAGGTTGAGGCTCGAGTGTGCTGTGTGAGCTGATAAATTGCGTGGAGGGGTCAGCACGTGTGTGGCACGCGAAGATGGCAGCATTCTTCTGAGTCAGGCCCTGTTCCCCTGGGCGTCTTCAAACATAAAGTAGGTAGGCTAACTCATGAAATGTCAACCGAAGTTTCGAAATGCGCTTTCGTTTCGAAAAGATTAATTAAATAGGGTTGTAAAACTAATTATTGTGCAGCAAACTTCTATAATGATTCCTTTACCTCAGGATGCCGGCTTTCGAATGAATTTCCTTCCGGCTGCATGCAAAAACTACACTCTGTAAAAAATGACCACTTAAGCAGCATGCATTTTTCCCACTGATTCTCGATGCCCCTAAAAGTTCAATTATATTTCATGGAAAGCATGCATAAAAATATTCATTCTTTAGCTTATTCGGTAGAAAATTACGTCTCCTTCTAATTTTATACTCGAAAGAGGGATGTAATTCGGTTTTAAAAAAGTTTCTAATTGTGGGACTTTTAAATACCGTGAATGACCATTTATAAATCGTCATGTCTCTGCATTTACCAATGTAGCTTGTAAAGTTAACAATATGGATCAAATCCACTGCCACATTTTATGAACCCTACATAGTCCCCCTTTAGTACCGTAGAGAAATATGTGGCTTTCCGCACGTGAAAAATAAACGACTTGTAGTCTGGAAATCCCGAATGCAAGTGTAACGGTAGATCGGGTTCCAAATTATTCGGGAATTGGAAAAGTTTTTGAAAACGAAATTATACCCTTCCTTCGAGTATACGATTGGAAGCAGATGTAATCGTCTATCAAATGAGCAACAGAAAGAATAGTTTTATGTCTATTTGTCATGAAATCTTATTGGACTTTGAGGGGCATCGAACATCAATGAGAAAAATTCATGCTGTATAAGTAGTCGTTTTTTACTAAGTGTAGTTTTTGCATGCAATCGCAAGGAAATTCATTCGAAATCCGCCATTCTGACGTAACTGAATTATTATAGAATTATGTTGCAGGCTGACTGGTTTTATAACCCTCCTTTATTAATCTTTTCGAAACGAAAACACATTTTGACATTTCATGCGTTAGCCCACCAACTGTACCCGGCAGACGCGTCGGAAATCGCTGTATTTCTGGAAATGACAGACTTCACAGTTCTTGACGACGTAAATATCGCGCTTTTCAAAAATGTTTATTTTTACGAGAAAGCCTATTTTTAGATTTTGCTCGGAGTTCAATGAGTTCTCGCTCAGATCCTACGTCATGTGGTTGTGACTGATCGTCCTATGATTTTGTCAGTGGTTTTAGTGCACTTGAACTTTACTCTCCATGTCACGCACGTTGACCGATCTGAACCCCGATGTTTTTGATCAGAAAATCTAAAATTTGACCGATGTCGAGGACGGAAACGACGTTGAGCTCTTTGTTCAATTCGTCAGTGGGAGAATGGTTGGATTACGAAGACCCTTTCTCGGGGTGACGATCAGACGGAAGTGCGTTTATGAATGCAAGATTATCAGTTATCGGAGAACGACCGACGTTGCGAACATTCCTTTTCTGCTGAAGCATAGGTAGCAGCGCGTGGGGACACTGCTTGAGTGGAATGACCATCCGATAGCCAAAACACGTCAAGCCGATTTTTTTATCTGAATAATTTATTTCCAGTTGATGGTCATAACGTTTTAATGTCCCGGACCTTCCTATCCACTACTGGACGATGAAGCAGGAAATGCGTTTGAAGGTAAGACTGTTCGTGACGGTTTTGGAAGATTGTCGAGGCACCTGACTGCTTGTCTCGAGTATTGGTGTTGTGGTGATTCAGCCATGATGTTCTACCACCAAACACAGTATCGTTATTAAAGACTTCTCAGATATTTGTGAGAAATCTACTTTTGAAAAGTCAGTTGGCAAGCATATGTATTCAGTAACTCATAATCAGTCCAATAAATTTGCATGAGCAATAAACTTTTTAAATTGCGGACATGATATAAATGTGTCTCAGGGGCAGAGTTAGTCAGACTCCATGTTACCACACCGCCCGCATGACGGAGTCAGCGTGTTGCGAGCAGTGGAGTTGGGGTGGGGGGGTGGGAGGAGAAGGGTTTCAGTCATGTCCCACTGTTTGACTTTGCTTCCAGGTACAGAAGTTGCGCCGGGCGAAAATTGAGTTCATTCCTTCGGGACGTAGTTTGATCGTGTGAGGAAGAAACCAATTATCCCAGCTTGCCGACTGCGTCTTTGATGCGCACCTGCCTTTAATCTTGTGAATGCAGGTGTAACTGTCGGATCTAGAAAAAAGATAAGACTGGAACTCTGGTGATAACGCAGTCAGATGGGGTAGAGGACAGCGTACGGTCATATCTAGATTTCTGTCGCTGTCCGATACTTGGGTAGTATTACCCCCCTAATTTCATTGGTTTACTTGCCGCTTTGCTGAAAATCCTATCAGCGGAGTCCGTTAGATGATTAAAATCTGCAAAAGCGGAACACGCGTCTCGGGTGTTTCATCAACGATCGCTTCTTCTAACCTACAATAAACACCTGTGACTTAGGAGTTTGCATCTTTTCCGGAAAAGGGACAACTCGCAAGTTGTTCCCGAAATTATTAACTTGAACTGAGATGACAGACGGAGCCCTAGTGACACCTATATAAACGCGAAATCGTGCGTTGCATGTGGGGAGCCGAAGATCTGATTTTACGCCTAGGTCGACGATGCAGGTGTAAGAGAAATCTGTAGGTCTGCGAACGGAAATTTTCCTAAATGAATTTACCAACGAGAAAAGCGAATTGTCTTTCGTAGGACTACGATCGGCGAGTACAAAGAATTTGTCTATGACTGCCTGTCGTTATTAAATATCGGTCAGGTCAGCGCTATCGCGATATTTGAGGCATCCAAGAATGACGTTTTCTATACAGGACTGCTGTTATTTCTCACAAACCAAGGCAAGGCCACTGAATTTTCTTCACGCTACCCAGCACGCTTTCCAGAAAATATTAAGTCATTGTGAGACATCCTTTACTCTGATAAAAGTAATTTTTGCATTTCTTCATCTGGATTATGCAGAAAATAGGGAGAGTAAAGTTCAAGTGCACTAAAACCACTGACAAAATCATAGGACGATCAGTCACAACCACATGACGTAGGATCTGAGCGAGAACTCATTGAACTCCGAGCAAAATCTAAAAATAGGCTTTCTCGTAAAAATAAACATTTTTGAAAAGCGCGATATTTACGTCGTCACTTGGACCAACCCTCGCCGATGTTTTTATGGGTTACCTAGAAGATAAGGTGTCCTCAGAATTAAACATGACAACATTATACAGGAGATACGTGGATGATATATTCACGATTGTTGATAACAAGGAAGAGGCCTCCGACCTACTTTGCCTGATGAATAATCTGCATCCTAAAATAAAATTTACGATGGAAATGGAACAGTTAAACAAGTTACCTTTCCTGGACGTCCTCATGTTTAGAGAGGATGATGCTTCAATAAGACGCTCCGTCTTCCACAAGACTACGTGGAAAGGGCAATACCTACATTTCAAAAGCTTTGCTCCAATACAATGGAAGCGTAATCTAGTACATACTCTTTTTCAAAGAGCGAGAAATATTTGCTCCAAGGAGACCATAGATACAGAAACTGCCCGTATCAAAGAAGCCTTACTTAATCGTGGTTATCCTGCACGCTTCATTCAGAAGTACAGCAACCATTTACGGCCAAAGTTGACGGAACAGTCCGTTCCGAAGAAGCCCGTTATAATATGTCTACCTTTTAAGGGTGACAACGTATCAAACACAATCAAGCGACGCTTGCGATGCACTATAGAAAGAACGTACAACGCAGCAGAGCTTATCTTCATCAGTTCCACAAAAAGCCTTCCAATTAACCGGGCAAAGGATGCCTTGCCAATGCACGCCACCCCCAATTGTGTGTATGAATTCACATGCACTTGCGGATGCAAGTACATTGGGCGAACGCAAAGGCAATTGGCGACCAGGGCCGCTGAGCATTTGCCTAATTGGCTTTTCAAACAGGAAAATAGAACCCCCCGTTCGTCTATAACGAAACACCTGTTAGATAGCGGTCATGTTGTCGACCCTAAAGCATCCTTTCGAGTACTTGTCCGGGCACGTACAACTCGAACCTTGCGTTATTTGGAAGCAGCCTACATACGGAGGGAGAAACCAGACCTGTGTACGCAGTTAGATCATGTGATCAATCTGCAATTGCCCTGGTAATCTCACGCCTCTATTTTCCTCTGACTGTGATTTGTTGTTAACATTTCGTCTTCCTTTTTTCCTTTTTGATGCTTATGTGGACGTCTTAGCTGATTATTGATTATTTTGAACTTTGACCTTGCTCCTATGCACTGCCATTCTGTACAAATTCATACTGCTGTGCGCGTTCATTCGTTACCTATGTTATGCAGAGACGGGTTGCAGTTGAAAAGCCGTCACGAAATTTGTTGGCCCCAATAAATTCTGCTTTACATGCTTGTTTTCAATTCATACCGGGGAAAAAATGCTTCAGATTATTATTAGCGCATTTGAATGGATCTGTAACTTCGCGTACTCTCCTTTCCGAGGGCAAATTTCTGGCCGAGTAAAGAAAGTGTATGAACATTATGCAATAAACCACACTAGAGCTTTAACTTCGGCTACGACAACAGCTCAGTTATTGGCCAGAGAAGATAATTAGGTTAGTGATGACCGATCCAATGCCTACCGTGGCATAATGCCGTATGAAATGGAACATTAAAGGAAATTCTGAAACGTGAGTTCGGTCAGAATGGACTGCATATGTGAAATCCTACATCATTTACTGCACAGAATAATCCCAAGGTATTTCGTTCACATCAGAATGCCGGTTTTTAAGTGCGGGTCGTTCCTACCGAGTGCAAAAGTCACACTTACAATATAAGGCCAGGACAATTAGTATGCTCCACAGTGATTTTCGACTCCCCTACTAATCAGAACATGTGCTCTAGAAGGCATGCATAAAAATATTCTTTTTTTCACTCATTTTGTAAAAAACTTCTAAGCATAGGAAAAGTTTTCTTCCAATTTTAACAAATCATCAACCCTATAATTCCCCCTTAACTTTAGACGTCGTTACACTTGAGTTTGGGGTTTCCAAAACGCACAATGTGCAGCCTCCTTGTTAGAAAAACTGTGCATTTCATTATGTTGTTAAAAAGGAACCATCTAGCGCCATTAGGACTTTACAATGCATATAGGCCACCCTGCATGCTTATTAAGAAGCATTCATAAACGGTTAGATACAGTGCGTTTCGAACAGGCATTTCGCGGTTTTTTAAAATCTCATGATTACAAAGGGTTTGCAACTGAATGATGCACTTTTTTCAATTGGAAACATGCCGTAAAATGAGTGCAGTAAGGGTATTTTTACGCATGCCTTTTGTAAAATCCTTCTGTATTCGTAAAGGTATCACAAATCAATGGGAAAATGTGATACCACCTTATTATTTATTTTGGTGACTAGGGTCTTTGTACGTGACCGGATAAATGAGCATTAAAGAACTGGCATCAGGACACGGTGAAAATATACTGGCAGGAAAATCAACATCACGATTTTCATAGGTAATCCTTCCTAACCGACAGCATATTTCAGTATTTTAATTAATCTTTCATGAGAGGCTTACTTCAGAAGCCAGAAAGAAGCTGTTTTCCTAAGTAGGAGAATAATTAACCATTCTATTTAACGCCTCCCGCCTGACGGAGTTTTGTCTTGTTGGAATTGAGCGCTTAGTACCGCAACCCTATTTCAAGGTCAAACTATTTCCTCTGACTCCTGATCTTGCCTCGTGTATTCTTCTGGAATGGGTGTGCTGGTGAGCGAGCTATCATGTTCAAATCTATTTCCGCGAGAAGTATCGAAAATCGTTATTTTTACTCGTTTAGGAGCATATGGAAGTTGTCATCGACAAGCGTAATCCGAACTTTTAATGTCGCTTCGTCTTATTAGGGCTACGCTAGAAAACGCCATTTGCATACGAATTCAAACGCGATCAGAAACTGCCCAAAATCTGTATACAGAATATTTGGAAATCGCTGGTATGTTTTCAGGTTAGGAAAACATTGTTGTCCTCAAACAGGCGTTCAACTTTGAACTATACGCGTGTTGCTGTCTTCATTTCCACCTGTTCCTTACTCTGAGGGCTTAACAAAGATTCCACGTGGTTTTCGAAACTAAACCTTATGTGATGTACTTTACTAAGTACCACTTGATTAACTACTTCCAATAGGTAGTTTGAAATATGTTGGCTTTTCTTTCAGAACTTTGATTCAACCCCTAAGAAAATCGTCCGACACTCTTACGACTTCCCGACGAAACGTATTCTCCTCATGCGAAACTCCAAAGATAGACATGCCGGAGGTAGGTCAATGGCTACTGTCTTTCGGAAAATATTTTCAGGTGCACTTAGGAAATGGGAAATTCTGAATGTTTCGACTGCAAACAAAAATTTCGAAATGCGTTCTCGTTTCGGAAAGATAAATTAAGTAATGTTGTAAAGCTAATCATGATGCAGCATAAATCTATAATGATCCAGTTACTTCAGGGTGTCGGCTTTCGAAAGAATATATTTTCGGCTGCATGCAATATCTCTACTCTGCAAAAAATGACTACTTAAGTAGCATTCAATTTTCTCATTGATTTTTGATGCCCTTTAAAATTCACTTATATTTCATGAAAAACATGCATAAAAATATTCATTTTTTACTTATTTGGTAGAAAATCACGTCTTCTTCTAATTTCATACTCAAAAGAAGAATATAATTCGGTTTTAAGAAAGTTTCTAATTGTGAGATTTTTTAATACCGTTAAATGGCCGTTCATGAAACGTCATGTATCTGCATTTACGAATGTCGCTTGTAAAGTTAACAATATTGCTCAAATCCACTGCTTAATTTTATGAACCTCATATTGTCACCTCTTAACATCTTATTCGGTAGAAAATCACGTCCTCTTCCGATTTAATACTCAAAAGAAGAGTATAATTCAGTTTTAAAAAACTTTTCTAATTCCCGAATAATTTTGAACCCGACCTGTTGTTACACCTGCATTCAAGGTTTCAAAACTACACGCTGTATCTTTTCCGTGTACGGAAAACCATGCATTTCTCTACGGTGTTAAGAGGAGATCATATGAGGTTCATAAAATTAAGCAGTGGATTTGAGCAATATTGTTAACTTTACAAGCCACATTCGTAAATGCAGATACATGACGTTTCATGAACGGCCATTAAACGCTATTAAAAAATCTCACAATTAGAAACTTTTTTAAAACCGAATTCTATTTTCTACCAAATCAGTAAAAAAGTAAATATTTTTATGCATGTTTTCCATGAAGTATAATTGAATTTTCAGGGGCATCGAAAATCAATGCGAAAATTATATGCTACTTAAGTAGTCATTTTTTACAGAGTAAAGATATTGCATGCAGCCGAAAATAAGTTCTTTCGAAAGCCGACACCCTGGGGTAACTGGATCATTATAGATTTATGCTGCATCATGATCAGTTTTACAGCAGTACTTAATTTATCTTTCCGAAACGAGAACGCATTTCGAAATTTTTGTTGACATTTCATGAGTTAGCACATCTTCTGTATGCATGACTGACAGGACTCATTACCTTTGAATCAGTTCAAATTTTAACGTTTTGTTAATTATGCAGTTGAGTTGAGCATCCTGGTTTCAAGGTTAGAATGAATCTTCCTTGTGCTGATCTTGCTAACTATGCAGCTATCGATCGGTCAGTGTTCAATGGTAGACTTTTAAATTATGCATTTCAAGTATTCCCGGTAGCAATTTGCTTGCCTTTGTACAGTTCTCGCGCCTAGGTTAAGCAGTAAATACAACTAAGTCATTAATAGAGGACAAATTAAAGTTTCCTATCCTGATGATAAGGAAAACACCCAGTATTCGCGCATAAGACTCGGTAGCTGAATTGCAGAAGTGGAGAAGAACTAAAGGAGAAATAAACCAGGATTGGTAAATCCTTGTTTTTACCGGAAATTGTTGTTGCTCCATTCATTATGCACGGCATATCACGTCGACCACCTAGAACTCGGGGCATTAGTTTCACAATTCCATATTCTACTGATTTGCTTCCAAGTCAGATCTTTGGGCACACGACTGTGGATTTCACTCTCAAATGATTTTGTTTTTTATTTTCAGGCAATGGATTTGGAATCAAAATCGCCGGCGGTAGAAAGCGGACTGATGGTCATTTGGGAAGCTTCGTGGATCAAGTAATCTCAGGGGAGACGCTCAGCTATTTGCACGGCGAAATATCCGAAGGTACTTAGAACCCCTTTCTCTCTGACTTTGTCAACTAAAGCCTTTTAGAGGCATTCTTTAATCTCCAACTGTCATGCGCTAGCGGCCCGTCCGAAGTAAACAGCTTGGCATCATGAGTCGCCAAGTGTGCATTCAAGAGCGTGAACGAGAGAGAGACAAATGCGCTTTGTCTTGAAAGTATTTTCCAAAATTTTCACGAAAAACACCCTCCTCTTGGCATGGCCAAGCATGAATACGCAAAATAAATAGCACTGGAAAATTACGAAGACGATATAGCAACTTCAATCTGCAGCTGTCGGTATCGCTGGCAATCGTCAGTGGACGCAGTGCAAATTTTACGCCAGACCTTCTTCGAAACGGCACTAGCATTATGCTTATGTGACCTTGAAATTGTAACTCAAACAAACAAAAAGATAAAACTCAATATATAGCAAGTAAAAGAGGTCAACTGATGTACAACTATGACAAAGTTTACTTGAATGGAGGACTAGAAAAAGTGTGGCGGCTCAAATTCAAAAGCCTGCCTGGTAGCAAAAACACTAATCGATTCTCAACTGTTAAATGCAATCCAACCATCCACGAGGGGTCTACAACAGAGTTCTAAATCATATTGGAACGTCCGTTTTACCTTCTGCGGCCAGGGATAATTAGTGAGCGCTACTTCCAAGTTAAGGTAATTTGGCACTTGCGCAACAAGGCATATGGAATTACTAATACTAGGGAAAATGACGTTTTGGGATACTTTCCGCGCTTGGACAGGTTCGTGTTGTAAATAGACGAACATAGTGACTAATACTTAGCAAAATGTAATCAATCTCTCACATTTATTGAAACGGTTTCAGTAATTACTTGTGTTTTATTAACTTGCTACGTCCACTGCAACTTTCCTAGTGATGACGGATCAGCTTGGCAATTTTTTTCTGGCGAACATACCCTATTGGTCGATAATGGGTGCCAGCGAACAGATTTGGTATCCTAGGATATTCGAATGGCGTTCATAGCAATCCTTAAAGTCTTGCAAACTATCTAATATCGTGCGCGTTTAATAAAGTGTTAAACAAACTTTCACAGATGTTCCTAATATATCATCGTAAGGAATAAGAGTTTAATCGTCCCCACAAAACACGAGGCGAGACAGAACAAACGCAACAATGATCTCCAATCGGAGGCGATTTCGGGTTGATCAAGGACTCGCTGATCGCGTCCCCGACTCCTTTTTTCACTAACACCCCACTGTTTTTCTCGAACGGTACATGTTTGTTTCGCTACGAATTATTGGGAAATTTTATGCTCCAAGGGCCGCTAGTCGGTAGATAAACGCTTATCGCCCTCCTGATTGGTTGACCTTAGTGTTATTTGTGCTTTGCAGTTCAAATGAACTGGCTGATCCACAGACCTTTACATCAAGGCTCAACCTCGTGTCTGGCAGGAGAAAGAGGCAGTGAGCACATCTCAATATTATTCAAATAGACGATTCCCAACTCACGGGTTCCCAAGCTTTAACATTTAATTACGAATAAGAATAAACTTTAATCTGTGGATTCCTTCAGCGAGACATAAATTACAAATTTCTCCTCAATGAATAAAAAGCTCCACTGGTATACGGTTAGGTGCAAGTGTTCGATAGTGAAGAAGAAAAAACGTGGATTCACTTGTATTCCATCCTATGATCAGCGTACATTGGTCAACACAATTTTTGAAGCCTAACCTGGGCAGGCACAGGGCAGAGATTAGTGGCATCAAGAAATGTTAGTCTCCAGTCGCGTAATCTACGCGTTGTATTAAAAATTCTGTCGCCTGTGTTGCAGCTGCCCCGGATTTGAACTGGGATGAGAATTGCTCACGGCACGTGTTAGCCAGGTTACGAGACCGCGTGAAATCAAAATATTGACGGGCGCGCTGCAGGCCCCCACCGAAATCCGAACTTCTCTTACAGTTTTCGGGAACTACAGTGAGTGATCGATCGCATAAAATGTTGCCTGAAATTCTGAAATGCGATTCCTATCAGGAAGAAGTACTTATTCGTGGTTATAATACTGATTACCCTGCAGCATAATCCTATAATATCGCTGACTCGGCAGGATGTCGGTTTTTGAATGCACTGCTTTTCAATCTCCTGTAGAGACCCTACGCGGTAAGAAATGACTGCTAAATTAGCGTGCATTTTTCCACATTGATTTTCGATGGTCTTGCAAATTCAAACATATATTATGGCAACTGCGAACAGAAATATGTGTTCTTTTAGAAGTTTGAAAGCAAATTACGTCATCTTTATATTTGACAGTCGAAACAGGAGTACATTTAGGTTTTTAAAAGTTTTTATGAGATTTTTAAGACCATGTAATGCCCATTCATACATCATTCTACTTGTCCTTTTACCACTGCTCCTCGTAAAACATACAGCATAGTCCGCTTCCATTGCAAAATTTTATGGACTCTTTATGATATCTTTATAATGGCATAGAAAAATATGTGATTTTCTTTACGCGGAACGCATAAACCTTGTAGACTGAAATCAGTAAGCGCTAATGCAACGACTGATTGGGCTCAGAATTATTCGGGAATTGGAAAACTTTTTTTAAAACCTAAATATACTCCTGCTTCGACTACCAAATATAAAGACGACGTAATTTGCTATCAAACGTCTAAAAGAGCACATATTTCTGTTCGCAGTTGCCATAATATATGTTTGAATGTGCAAGACCATCGAAAATCAATGTGGAAAAATGCACGCTACTTAAGTAGTCATTTCTTACCGAGTAGGGTCTCTACAGGGGATTGAAAAGCAGTGCATTCAAAAACCGACATCTTGCCGAGTCAGAGATATTATAGGATTATGCTGCAGGGTAACCAGTATTATAACCGCGACTAAGTAATCCTTCCTAATAGGAATCGCACTTCAGAATTTCAGCCAACATTCCATGCGATCAGTCACTCACTGTAGATTTTTTATGGCACGTGTAAACTTGTGTCCGAGACCAACTCCGGTCATCCTTGCACCCTCTTGCCCACTCTCAGTCGGACAGGTGATGGGAGAGTGTGACGGTTGTCGCCTAATTCACCCGCAAGTCGTCAGTGCTGCGTCCAACTCGTTTGCCATGCGGTGGACCTCATCGCTTGCGACTGCCGAACTGTCGACAATAATTCCGCTCGTATGTCGGCGCGTTTTTCGTAACAAAACGCAGGAGACTAGAACGATCCGGACAGTGTCAAATTTAAATCCGGATTCGTGGATACGTGTTATGAAGTATTTGTTAAAATGCTAAAGTAAACCTAAGTTCAGATTTTGGATCTATCCGGTCTGGATCTAGGCCGCAGGCAGTCGACAAGGGTAACGGAGCCCACGATGCCCCCTGTACGTTCTACAATTACGTCGGTAGAACATCTCAATTACCACTCGTCTCGGACGCTGGACAGGTTAAAGATTACATGCCTGCTGTCCGTCTTGTATACATAGCAGCGCTGTTAAACTCTCTAATTTAACAGTCTAAGTAATACGCAATTGCCGTACGCAGTTGAATAAGTGGTCACGAAACGTTTTGCGTCATTAAGTCCACCACGTTTCGTCGTCATTGCTCTGGTTAAGACAAAGATTGCTCGCAAGATGTCATCAAATTGACTTTTTTCTTGAAAAATTGAACTTTCCTTGCTAATATGAGTCCACGTTCTACACAAAGGTGACGAAATCATTGAGTGGAATGGTACTGTCCTGATCGACAAGGAGGCCGCAGAAGTTCAAGCCATTGTCAACACACCGGCCGACGAAGCTGAACTGCTGGTTCGCAGGTTAGCCGCCATACTTCTGCCCCTCTCCTAACCCTCACGTACTTGTTTTCTGCGTAAATGCCGATGACGGTGATGATGATGATGATGATGATGATGATGATGATGATGATCATGCCAATCTATCGAGTTTTTCACAATTAAATTAAAAAAATTATTTAAATCAGCTAAAAGTACCCAGACCAGCTTATATTAATCTGTTTTCCTGTGCATGTTCACCACTAGAGGCTCATAGTTCCTTTTACGCATTTGCGCATTATCGTTGCTAATGCTTTTCAGTGGCTATTGTTTGACAGTTTGAAATAGCCACGACGAATTTTCAAACATCCATGCGACCCGTTTTACTAGACTTTCCACATGCTGCAGATTTTATTGGTTAAGTGAAAAGTGCTGTTTTAAAAATGCATGTGAGAAACTTGCGGCCTGTAGCCCCCCCCCCCCGTTTCGGGAAGGCCGCCGAAATCATGGGTGTGTGTGTGTGAGTCAGTTTCCTCCCTGCAACGAGCTACGCGGAAGCTGCGCTGGACCAACATGGGGGGGCCCGATTGAGGTACGACACGCGGCAACATCCCATTTCGTAGTCGTACCTGTTAGGCGTTAAGATTAGGGGGTAAAGATTGGGGATTAGGGGTTAAGCTTAGGGGGTGGGGTTAGGGGTTAGGCTGACTTGCCTACTGCAGGTATGGCTGCGAAATGAGATCCGACAAGACACGCAGTACTGGCCGTGCACCCATAAGAAGTGCTATGCATAAAGAGGTTTGGCGGCACGCCTAGGTGCGAGTCTACGCCATCCCAGTCACCTGTGGCTGATTCCACCTCCGGTCTCCTTGACTTTGCCATAACACCGGGCGCAGTTGGGTGTGGTGGAGAGGGCGCGGCGGGTGCTGTGCAAGTCACTTGTCACTATAAACTGCGCCGGTCAGTATTGGCACACAGTTATAGTTGAGAATGAAAATCTGACCTAGAGGGTCGTGCAATTCACTTTTTACTCCCTCCGAGCTGCGTGTTCAGTAGTTTCAAAAACTTCTATGCCCCAAGTCGTCGACCTCTCATGTTCCGGCATTTGCCATCATCTTCATCAGCTCTGTAAGTTAGTAATAATATTCAGGAGGAGTGTCGATAAAGTCAGTAGACACTGAGAGGACCGTAGCCAACTGATTGAACCTAACTCCGGATTTGGACAAACTGAGATTCAAATCCGAAATTTGGCTCACTGAACGCTAAGCAGTACGAGACTCTACCAGTGGGCCACTGATCTCTTGCTCTGTCTGTTTTGCGGAGAGTGTTCAGTGGCCAGGTTATGGGAGGTTCGTCCCGTTGCACCTAGAAGAAGTAAAGTGCAGGTTGTTCAAACCTGAGGTTGGGTGTGGCAGGTAGACAACGGCGAATAAACCAGAAATGGTCACCCCTCGCTTTTTGTCTGTATCACTTCTATAGTACACGACTCCCTGGGAAAACTCTAGATGGGGCCCCAAGACAAAGTGAAACAAGCGGCTGTCGTTACCTGATCGCTGCTGACCCTTCACATAATGGTTACTAAAAATGCATTTATTTGTGGCTGAATGTGAGGGTAATTGTCGGACCGACCTTTCAGTGAGCTCGTTCTGATTGCGCGCCTGTGAAGATCTCATAACTCTCAAACAGCCTCTAATAACTATCACGGATAGGAGCCAACTCAACTTAAGCTTGCACTCGGAAACACTGACTGCAAACCGCTTTCTGTGGTTAGAATTTGGACACGCAAATCTAAGAACCAAATTTTGGTAAAATTATGCACGAAAGTACTAGCAGGTACATCGCTCAGCTGACAGAAGTGACAACGAAAACTCAGAGGGCCAGAAACTGGGTGCGGTGGGTTGACTGTGTGAGCCGTTTCATCACAAAGCCTATTTACTGGCTTCTAAACAGTGCTGCTTCCTGTGATTAAGCCACGACGCTGGCTGTCCCAATCAAATGACCGGCAGAACGTTCAAAAATGAGACTCTCCCTTCTAAGCCGTGATCAAGTTCAACTGTTCAGACTGAGATTGCTGAACAAGCCTGGGTTTGTCTACCGGTTGCCAGAAGTATCTTTCAGGGCCAGATGCAATGACTGATTCATGGTTTTACTAGGCTGAAGAGGATTGAGGCCGGCTACAAGATCTCATAACTCTTAAGCAGCCTCTAATATCCATCAGGGATAGGAGCCAACTCAACTTAAGCTTGCACTCGGGAACACTGACTGCAAGGCGGTTTCTGTGGTTAGATTTTGGACACGCAAATCTAAGAACCAAATTTTGGTAAAATTATGCACGAACGTACTAGCAGGTACATCGCTCAGCTGACAGACCTGACTGCGAGAACTCAGAGAGCCAGAAGTATCTTTCAGGGCCAGATGCAAGGACTGATTCATGGTTTTACTAGGCTGACGCGGATTGAAGCCGGCTAGAAGAATCCGAAAAACGGATCGGACGGCAACAGCAATAGTAGAGTAAAAAGCACATTCCAACATGTTGGAACTCCCGTCTTTGCGTCTAGGACTTAAAATTGACTGTTACTTCCACGCTTTAGCCTTATGATAACAGCGATTCGGAATTAAATCCAAATTTACCTTTCGCACCAAAAAAATATGATTATTCTGTTTTAAATCTAACTTTGGTGTTTTAGTAACCCTACTCCCTCCGAGTCCTCGTTCGTGCGCCGATACCCTCAGGAGTTTCCTCTGCACACCTGTCCCCACAAAAGCCCCTGTGGTGAGTTGTGTCCACATTTTGTACCCTCTCCTCCAGGGTAGTAGAGCTTTTCAATTTTTTTTAAAAAGTACTCTGTTATATGACTTTTTTTTCTTCTACGTCCGGAAAGTCTGTCGATGGCAAAACCGGCAACATCAACATCCACAACAGAAGCATAAATTTTCCAATCAACGGGCGCGGGCAGAAATTGCGTTTGTCCGAGTTCTTGGACTGCCATGAAAATTCAGTCCCAGGGGGCATTGGAAAACAATGTTAGAAGTGGGCAGAATCTGGTGGCTTATCCGACCAATCGGTGGTTTATATCGCCTGCTTGGAAATGCCCTAGCAGAATGCCGTACCCGGGTGGGGAAGGGGGGGGGAGTGGGAGAATGAGTTATACCGTTTTATCGAGGTCTCGTCAGGCCCCAAGATGACAAGTTTTCAGTTGGTTGTGTCGACGACTGGCATCAGGGCATTCAGGCTAGCGACCTTGAAGTGACAACCCACTTTGGGACGTGCAAAGACGGCCTACGAAGACCTCCAAGCGAACCGTCGGAAGTAATCCGGCCTTTCTCCCTCTCTCTCTCTCTCTCTCTAACATTTCTCGATTTCCACGCTGGAAGGTTATTGCCATTTCAGTTGAAACGGAGTCCACTTCATTGTTTTACTTTACCCGCACATTTTAAAGGGACTGAATTGCACTGTTGAATCACGGCGGTTGGGAATTCTTGATAGAACTGCACGTCTGCCTGAGAATTAAGACGTAACGTCACGTTACTGGTTTCCTCTAGCTTGAATCTGTACGCTCTCACTTTCTTATACCTAAAACCTCAGAGCCTCTGACTTTAGTCTGATTTGTCATTGAAAAGATGTCTGCAATATTTGATGAAAATTATCCCGCCTAATATTGACAATCAGATAAAAAGCCTATTTCGGTGTTCTTTTTGCATCTCCTCCTTGACTGCATTATAATACTGGAAATTGTTTTTAGTATTGCAACCTATGGAGACGTGCCTGTCTGGAAACAGACTACTGGGTCCTTTGTTTAACGAAATAACGGTATAGCAAGTCTGCCTCCAATGCAGATTATCAATCCTTCATTCTCATGACTGGCAAATCAACCTTACTGTTCTGTCTAACGAGCAGTCCACTGGATTCAAATCGAAAACCCCCGGGTGCAATGAGCAATGTGTCTACAAGTTCAAGTGGACCGCAGTAGTTTTATTACTGCAGATTGCGTTTCTCGTTAGGCGCACTTTAAATTTTTGTCAAAATATTTATAGCTACTGAAGACGTTTCTGCACATTAACGCCTTCTACAAGTGTCCGTTTCTATTGCCAAAATTAGTCCACGGGGACATCAGTGAACTCAGTCGATGTCATTTTCTGTCCCCTATAAGCCGCACCGATGGCATCTGCATCTCCCTCGGCGTTTGCTCTATGCGTGTAAACTGCAACAGTTTGAACAGTTTTTGATGCTGAAATTGCATTTCATGATCCTCCTATCGCGTGATCTTGTTTTGGCGTATAGGCGCTAACAGTTACAGCCCGCGCCCTGCAGCCTTAAGGTCTGACCAACCCCTGGACGGACGCTTGCAGTGAAATTTTCAATGCGTGCGGCAAAAAGTCTTTTATCGTGTCCCCTTCGTATGGGCGGGAGAAAACATGAGACTACTGGTAGACTCCTGACGATTGCAGAAATTCCTCTCGTCTGTGTATCGCTAAAGTACTCACACACTGTGCCAAAATACTAACCATACTTTGAAGTAAATTATCGTTACTTTAACGGCACGCTAACACCAGTCAAGTAAATTGTCGGTTTCCAAAAAGGACTTTATGTAGGTCTGCGCATTCCTTTGAAACTCAACAACCACAAAAACAGAGCTTTTGCATGCTAAAAGCACTGGTTTCGTAATGTTGTTGGCATAAGACGATCCGGATGTTGCCTTAAGATCAGAAGATAGGCAGAAGGATCCCTTTGCGTTAAGGGAAAATTGTTTTCGAACTAGAAGAGAGAGCGTGTCCTGCGTGAAGCATCACAAAAGCAGCTCAGATCTTAGTGGGCCCTGTGGTACATTGGAGGAGAACCGTGTCTTGATGTGGCCTTCTGTCCCCCTTGATCTTCACATAAATCCGCGTAGCAGACAAAGTTGCCTACAGACGTCACAGGTGGCTGCTGATAACGCATTCCATTTTTGAGGTTTGAACTGTCGCGAGCATCACGGAGTGAGTGCGGCATCGGTGCGTTGGTTTATGGTAAGGCAGACTTGGGCAGTATGTACCACACCTTCTCTTTCCTCACCCAGCCAGGTATGGTGTGGTTATGTAGCCCCACTTAATGGACACAATACTGTTGGGGTTAGGGTTAGGGGCTGGAGGTTAGGGATAGAAGTTAGAGTTTGGGTTAGGCTTAGAGTTTAAGGCTGGTATTAGGGGTTAAGGCAACTATTTCTCAATCATTCAAAGTACAACTGCGCATTCCCAATAGCTTTTCTTTTGCATACAACTACTTGACCTCATCGCCTGTGCGTTCCCCGGTCCCACCTGTAAAAACCTCTACTATGACCGGTCCCGTATTAGAGGTAGCTGAGGTTTGTTTACTTCAGATAGGGCTACATAACTACATCCGGTCCCCACCCAGCCCAGATGTCAAGGCAGGGAACGCAGTGGCTGACAAAGCTAAAGAAACCATGTACGTGTGTCCCGCACAAATTGGTTCCTGCTCCACGTTCATCGGACTGCACTTTCTGAGAGGTCGAGGATCTCTCGCAGGTAGGAATAAGATAGGGAGGGGGTTTTTAAGAAGGAGCCATTGCGGCCAGACTTCCCGTCCTGAGAAAGAGTGCGTTATGTCGTGTGTTGACAGCCTTCCAAACCCCAACTCTTGACGCTTCGTGATAGATTTAAACGTGTTGGTTCTGCCATGCCGTTGGGGTTGTATTCCGCAGTGACGACCTTACTCTTTCCGCTCTCAAGCACAGTAGATGTGCTAACTCATGAAATGTTAACCGACATTTTGAAATGCATTTGCGACTCGAAATGATTACTTAAGTAGGATTGTAAGTGTAACCACCGCGCAGCACAATCTCAAAATAGTTTAGTTACCACAGCATACCGGCTTTTGAACGAACTTGCTTTCGGCCGCCTGCAAAAACTACACTCTGCAAACTGACTACTTAAGCAGTATGCGTTTATTCACTGATTTTCAATTCCCCTATAAATTCAAATATATTTCATATAAACATTCATTCTTTACTAATTAGGTAGAAAATTACGTCTTCTTCGAATTTTCTATTTGAACTAAGGTCGTAATTCGATTTTAAAAACCTTTTCCAATTTCCGAATAATTTGGAACCCCACCTGCCGTTACACTTGCATTTGGGGTTTCTAACCTGCGAAATGTACATTTTTTGTGTACGGAAAGTCATGCATTTCTTTACAGTATTAAGTGAAGGCCATATGCGGTTCATAAAATCTTGCAAAGAATGTGAGCCATATTCTAAAATTTATAAGCAACATTAGCAAATGCACAGACACGATGTTTTATGAACAGGCATTTCGCAGTCTTAAAAAATCTCATAATTATAAACTTTTCAAAACCGAATTATACCCTTTCTTCAAGCATACAGTTTAAAGAAGACATAATTCTCCAATAAATGAACAAAAGAACGAATATTTTGTGAAATATTGAACATTTCCGAGTTTATAAGGGCCTCGAAAATCAATAAGAAAAATTCGTTCTATTTAAGTAACCATTATTTATAGAGCGTAGTTTTTGCAGACGACCAGAAATAAGTTCGTTCAAAAGCTGGCATCCTAAAGTAACTGAATCACTACAGAATTATGCTGCATGGTGATTAATATTACAACCCTACTTAATAATATTTCCGGGTCAAAAACGCACTTCAGAATCTTGGTTAACATTTTATGAGTTAGGACATCTACTGTGCTAGTCGACACCCCGAGCCTGTCCTCGGACGCGACTCCGCCCCTCAGCTCCACACTGCATTTAGGGGATGTCACGGCTTTCACACAAATGATCATGTCACGAGGGCCGCATTAAGAAGGGCAGGTTGCAGTCCAATCGTCCTTTTAAAAGAAGGACGGAATCACCCCACCATATTCTGGCCTTTCGTGTCGCGAATTCGAGTTTACCAGGTTTGTTATGAGGAGGAATGCGTTAAGCTGCCATGCGGAAGGTTGGCTCAGACCGCGCCGTACGCCCTCTGTCTCCTTCCATGTAGTTTTGACTTCTGCGATCTTTTCAGTAGTGAAATTAGGCCGGCTGGCGGATGTAGCGCTAACCCCGTCTAACCAATGCCTGAGGCATGCTCAGAGCAGTTCAACGAAAGTGTGCGATGAGACAGTACGGTACAGTGTAAGATCAGAACTGTACTTCTGATCCCTAGACGGTCAACAGCCAATCAATTCGAACGGGCGAGTACCAGGTAGCAGCCCAGAAGACGAAGACGTGATCGCTGAAATAAGAAATTTGTTGGCCTGACTTTTCGAATTCTCACTCGAATCCATCATCAGAGGCAGTCACAGATAAGGGTAGTGGTGGCACAAGGAAAGCAGTATTTTTAGCGCGTGGTTGCCCTGGGACCGTATGCGCACTGCAATTAACAATTCTCGCAATCACCGCTGAGGTCGTAATTGATGCGGTGGTGCTTGTCGGTCCGAGTCCGAGTCGTTAATTGCCGCGATTTCGTCATCCGTGCTGGATGCTGGTGTGACGATTGCCCGGCAGACTGGCTCACTGTCACTGGGATTACTGCTCGCCCGCGCCCTGCCTACGTGACTGATTCCCCTGCTCAGGGAAAATCTCGGCGCGGAATATGGTACCGGAGGCCATTGCGCTTGTTGATGGATTGCGAGCCTGAGAACCATGACTCGAGCACCTCGCGGCTCACGCGGTTGTCACCCCTTGCGAGGATTTCGGCCTCTTGAAACTTGAAAATACGGCCGGGTCTCGTCGAATTTGCCGCGACCTGAGAGCTAGTATCTCCCCGCCTCACTGCTGCGGCGTGTTCGACAATTTGCGTACGGAGTAATCTCCCAGTTTCTCCGACGTAGTTGCTTTGTCCGCAACTGCACCAGATCCGGTAAACGATTCTTGACGTTTCCAGCCGTGACAGTGGGTCTTTTGGCCTCATGACTTGGCGCCTGATGGTTGCTTCCGGCCTGTGTGCAACCCCAACTCCAAGTGGAGTGCGAAGACGACTGACGGCTTCCGAGACGTTCTTTACGTACGAAAGAGCCCGCCAAAATTTGGGGCTAATCAAATCTACAATCCTCATGACGTATTTTTGTCTGTCGGACCAGCTGAGCACGGGAAACGAGAGCAACCGCTTCGCCGCGCAATTTGTAATCCAATACACCCGCAAGTCATTACACAAGCTCCGGGCGCGCAGGTGGAGCGTCAGTCCATTGCCAATAGAAGCGAAGAGACGAGTCCCAGGATGCAGTCCCGTGAAGCAGCCTTCTTCACATCAGTCCATTGTGAGTACTTTTTTGACTAAATTTCCTTTTTTCCTCCCTCTAGCGGCTGATGCCCATCGACACGCCAAACTCTGCCCCTCACACAATCAGGTGCCCTCACACATGCACGAGGCCACGCATTCTTGCTTCCACCAACATCCGCACACCTGCCAACGCTCCTTCCCCCTGCACTGCGAGGTGCATCCCTGCATGCACAAGGCTCACATGAGCGGTCTGCAGCATCCAGCGCTGGGTCACGTATGTCGCAACGACTGGCCGGACGGTGCACCCGCCTACGCAGCGGCGGCGCGTGGCGGGAAGACGACGACGACGACCAGTGTCATTGACGAGACCCATCGACTTCCACAGACCCAGTCGCTGCACTGCAATCGCCTCTCCTACCCCCAGCTTTCCAGCCTCGAGAACCAGGAACCCTCGTCGCCCGCCAACAATGGGGCCTCTTGTGTAGAGAGTGAGGCCTCTGCATCACCGAGTAGGTCCTTGCATACGGCAGGTTCACGTGGCAGACAGTCGGGCCGACAGAATTTTGCAACACCCCCATCGCCACGACCGCCGGGCACGGAGGAAACGCAGGCCAATAAGCGGGACGCCTCAGACGGCGTCTCGCATCAGAGTGGTAGCGGTGGAATGACTGTGAGTATGAATTTCAGCACTTTAGCTTTAACTCTGACCCTTATTATTCTGGAAATTAGCGCAAGGCTCCCGGAGTGGGAGGAGAGTTCCTATTACCGTGTCTTGTCGTTCGATCAGCCTAACTATTTGACGTGGGACAACTTTTAAAGTCCAGTTATTCGGAAAACAGCCAAAATACCGGATCAAGAACCACGGTTATCTTGCCGCCGAAGTCACAGTCCTACCCAAACTATTTCTTCAGGATTATAAGGGCTCGTTTTAGGTCGTTTAAAGTCGACTCTTTGCTTCACGGCATTTGATACTGTCTAAATAGTGGGTTTCTGACTCTGCGGCATCTTAGCACGGGACCAATCAATGATCTTCTCTAAGAAGAAATACGGGACTGTTGATTACATTACTTCTCCAGATTAGCCTGCCTTAGTATTATATGAGACTGAATACTGGGAGTAAAGCTTAGGATAACCGAAAATAATTACTTGTAGGGGAAAAAGGATAGCCAGTATCTTTTGGTTCAATTTTACTAGTTGCATCATATTCGACACACAATATTTACTATTCTTAACCGGATTTCGTTACTTTAGTCAGGTTTATGCAAAATATTCGCAGGATTAGATGTAAAGCGGAAGCGTACGAGGATATTGAGACCTTAAGATGGTCTAACGCAAACTACCTTCCCCGAATCCGTTGTCATTCACCCAGTTTAGTGAGTTAATGGAAGTGGATAGGAAGCCTCAGTTGCAAGAATAATCTGTTTATTGTCCTACTGCTTCATATAATCCAAGTTTTCGTCAGCATTAATTAAGTGGATGAGGTTTAACTACTAAAGTAAGTGACCGATCTCATGAAATGTTGGCCGAAATTGTAAAATTCGTTTTCAATTAGGAAGGATTACTTTGGTAGGGTTGTAGTATTGACCATCATGCGACATAATCCTGTAGTATTTCGAATTTGACAGAATGTGGATTTTGAATGCACTTCTTTTCGACCTCCTGCAGAAACCGCACTCGGTACAAAATGAATTCTAAAGTAGCATGCACTTTTCACACTGATTTTTGACGGTCTAATGAACTCAAGTATATTTTAAAGAAAACATGCACAATATATGATTTTATTAACTCGTTTGGTAGAAAATCAAATTTTCTTCACATTTAATGCCCTAAAAATGTTAATCTTTGGTTTTAAAAAGTCACTAATTATGAGAGTTTTAAGACCGTACGATGTCCATACTAAAAGCATCACCCATGTCGGTTTGCCAATGTTAAACATATTCCGTATCCTTTGCAAAATCCCATGAACTCTCTATGCTACTTATTTAAAGGCATGGAGTAATTTATGATTTTTCTCACTCGACATGCATTCACCTTGTAGAATGAAATCGCTAAACACTAATGCACTGACTGATTAGGCTCGAAATTATGCAGGAATTGGGAAACTTTTTTAAAACCAAAAGATAACACTTTTTAGGTATAAAATGTGAAGAAACTTGGATTTTCTACCAAACGAGTAAATCCCTTTGCCGACTGAACCTTAGACAAGTTTCTGTTTTTACTTTTTGTCTTTTATAATGTTGAGCGAAAATTCGAATTTTGTTCAACAATGTAAGAAAAAATTATGCCGCCTCAAAGACCCCATTTTTCAACGCTGCACGTTTACGCTAGAACAATAGAACGCTGATTTTTGCATCTCGTTCTTTGTTGATTTTTCCATTATAAATTTTCAAGGAACTGATTTTCTCCATGAATGGCAGGAAATTTTAGGTTTTTTAATGGCCATGCAACTTACGGGCCACAGTGCGCATCAGTCATTAGTTTACCTAGAAACATGTGCTTGACAGTCATTTATCCCAAACGCCCTAATGGGAAATATCGAAAAGGACTAGTATTTTTGACACTGAAGGACCCGTGTTGCCATGTAACTTACTGCATGCCTTGGCAAATCCTGGAACTTTCCAGTAACTGCGTTTGTATCTTCTCAGTGATTTATTGCGTATTTATCTTCATTCTAACACCAGGGTACACCTTGTCAAGCAGTTGGTTTAGCTTTTACGTAAACAAAAAATTTATGGGTTGATAAGCTACGCACACACTTTGCCCAGAAAGGTATGAGATCATGATGAAAGGTTTCTATGTCACAAACGGGAAGAAATTTCCCCAGTATGTTTTCAAAACCGTCGACGCACTCCCTACTCAATTCATCCACAATTAGCAGACTATCGTCAGTCAGTGAGAATGCGATCCAAAACGAAATTCCACCATGATACTTAATGTATTTGTCATTTCGCTTATTTCAACTTCCGTACCTCCAATGTAGAACAATTCCGACATTTTAAAAAGGCTTAGACCTGTACGCTTTGTAAAACGGTGTTTTCATACATTACATATCAACCATGTACATATATAATATGTACTATATATACATACATAACCAATACGCGGTTATTCCACACTAGTTGGTTGTCTTCGACTCAAATGTTCATTGAAATTTCGGGTCCGGCCATAAAAACGTCATGTGCTGGAGACTAAATTCCATGTTCAGCACTGACTAATTTCTGAAATTATTCGCTTGATTATTCTCTGGAGTGCATATATCAGAAACCGCATAGAGAACTCTGGGGGTCCACTGGACCCTCGCGGCTGTGTCAAGCAACGACAGAATATCGGCGAAACACGTGTCTGGGCTTTTAACTAATATTTATGTCGGCAGTACGGTGTAATATCTTTACCTTATAGACATATGTATGAGCAGAATGGTATTACCGACAAAGACAAGGGAGACTGGAATGGCCATTTCCGGCTTATTAGCCGTCGTCAGGCAGCCATACTCAAGCCCGAAGTGTGGAACTCGAGCCTCGAACTCGCAACCTGTTGGTTTAGAAGTCCACGTATCTACCCACCGGGCCACGAGCCCGTTGCCATGTCGGTTTTCGATCGGGAATATACAATGGTAGTGGGTGCTCACCGATCGTTCATACGGAACTCACTCGTTCCGTTGTGCCTTAAGGGCTCTCTCTCGAGCCCAACCAGCAGCCGAGGCTCGGGTGTTCCACACTTCGGGCTTGGGAATGGCTGGCTGACGACGGCTAATAAGCCAAAAATGGCCATCCCAGTCTCCCTTGTCTTTGTCGGTAATACCATTCTGCCTATATATCATGCGCCGCTGTGCGGCTGCTGGTTGGGCTCGAGAGAGAGCCCTTAAGGCACAACGGAACGAGTGAGTTCCGTATGAACGATCGGTGAGCGCCCACTACCACATATGTATATATATAAATGACACAGGAGCCGAACCCCTCGCAGCTGTATCACGCTGCGGCGGAATGTCAGCAAAGAACGTGTCTGAATTTTCAGTTAATATCTAGGTCGAGAGTACTAGTACATTTACCATATAGATTTCATACTACTTTTAGTACTATATGCTTGTAGAATGGACATAACGTGGTTATTCCATAATAATCGATAGTCTTACACTCGAATGTTCATTGAAATTTCAGGTCCGACTATAAAAGTCATGTCCCGGGGACTTAACTCCAAGTCCTGTACTGAATAATTTCTAACATTATTCGCTGCATATAGGTGTATATGTCTGTTGAAAGAAATGGTGATGAAGACAAGAAAGATTGGAACATCCATTTCCAGCTTATAAACACTAGTAAGTCAGCCATAGTCAAACCCAAATTCTGCCGCACCTGAAATTCGAGTTCACAATTTGTGGTCATTGAGCTGTATGCCCTACCATTTGAGCCACGGGAGTGTTCACTCATCGGGCTACTGTATAGTCTCGCGCACCGGTGCTCAGCATTGTGGACGCAGATGTAGCACCGGCCGTGACAAAGAACACCGGAATGGCCATTTATGGTCTATTAATAGGTGTTAAAAACCTAGACTGACTCTCATGGCGCAATTTCGCTAGCAAGTCCCGCAACCTGAGCCATGAATGCCTCTTGCGGCATTGCTTAAACTTCCCATCGCAACCGACTGGACAACGCACCTCAGACCCACTGGTGGAACGTAAGGCTTTATACTCAACGATCGGAGAGTGAGGGTTAGAATTTTAGGCTATCCAAACCTGCTTTAGGTTATTGATGGCGGGTGAGGACTAACAAGTCGGAAATGTCCATTCTCTTCTCTTTTTTCTTTGCCCATACTCATTTTGCATCTGTACATGTGTATACGTCGGAGGTAATCTTGAGGGCAGTCTGAAGCGTATGCTGCAAACGTCAAGGGAGACTAGGCTTTTCATTCCTGGATTACTATTCCATATCAACCAACAATACTCAGCCCCAAGTTTTGGATAACCGCATTCTCTGATCAGTAGATGTTACGTTTAATGCTCTGCTGTTTGAGTAATAGCTCGTCATACTTTCGGTTGCGATCAGCAATACAAACTTATGTTGGAAGTATTTTAACCCGATTAGATTACGGGAGGAACTCGCTTTGTTACGTGTTGAGGCCCAATAGAGAAACCTCGTATGTAGTCGAAAAGCGACCATGAGTCATGCATTACACTATGTAATGGACGTTAGTTGAATTAGGAATGAGAGCCCGCCATCTCCACTCTTGAACTTCTAAGAAAGATAATATTCAAATCACTATTAAAGAGCTAGACGTTTCTAAGAACTAAATTCAACAAAGACGCAATTCCCTATTAAATTAGTTTTTAATTCCTTGTGGCAAATATTTGCTAGAAAATGTGAATGGATTTTTGCATTCAGCAAAACTTTCCTGGAAAAAAGATTATGGTGTTGGAGGGTTTTAGGCGGACGTAGTTCGCGCAGGCCCTTGGAAGGATGCTTCATCAAGTTCATGATCACTTTAAGGCAAAGGGAGACCTGTCGGCGCATAATGAGCCTTTTCAGGCGAAAGTGTTGGAATATCTCTCATCTAGAACGCACTTCTTTCTCATCCAGTGATTTTTATTTAGACACAATTTTGCCATGTAAAACGTCTATGGATTTTAAGCCGCTAACGTTAAATTCCAAGGAAAAGGTTCCTTACCGTAAACGACGAAAAAGCCAACGAGACAAAATCTCCGAACTAACTTAAACCGAAAAACTAACTCTCAGACCAAAATAGCAAGCATATCCGTGGGGTCCGCTAAGATTAGCTAGCTTTCATTGTTTTTCAACTTCATTTTGCAAGTAAAAATAGCAGTCCACTCTATCAATTACTCCAGCCAGCATTACCTGCTGTTTCGGCCGTTAACTACTCAATAAACGAGCATTCTCTTTCTGTCGTCCACTTTTTGTCGAATGATTCCTTTAACTAAGTTCACCTGTAGCGTAAACGAAGTAAATTGCTAGTCAACCCTTCCAGTGAATCAAATCTGTCATTTTTATAAGAGAATTGGGTAAACAATAGCCGGCCTCATCTGAGGTTAATTTTGGTTATCCAAAAAATAGAAACTAATTGATTAGGGGCACTTGTGCGGCAATTGTTAACGTGTTTACTCTGTGACTCACCGCAGAACTCAATAGTACATTTTGAGATATAGTACAATTCACGACTAAGTCTACACCGCAAGCAGCGACAAGTAGGTCGAAACACTGTCACGCATGAAAATTGCAACTTGTTCATCCTTTCGACTGAGCTGATTCCAAATGTGTGTCCGACTGTCCTTTCTGTTCGTTCTTGTAGTAATTGCAGATGGCAACTGCTCAATACGGTTATCTAACATTGTCTAAAATCTAAGCTGCAGCCGTCTGCATTTTTTTAAGAAACTGATGTAGTTTAGCCTGTTTCTTTGCTAACTTTGCTCCTCAAGGGCGTGCTTTGTACTCACCAAACAGTATTCTTTTATGAAAAGTAGTTTCCCCTTTAATGAAGGAGCACTGATGCGCTATAATTTGGATGTTTTACTCCTACCTAAGGCGTGATTTCCAGGCACCGATCTTTTGCTAACTCATGAATAATAGATGTTTTTGGCAGGCAGGACCTCCTATGCAATCAATCTAGCATCCATCACCTGACTACCAGGCCCAATTGATTAATAGGTGATTGCGACAGATTTTGAATAATTCTTTTCATCCGACTGTGAAAACTCGTCGGACTCGGTGAGATTGCAACTCACGACAGTAAGGCCAAGGCCATAGAAACGATTAGTCAAAAGGCGGGCAACCATCTCATAAAGTCAGTGTGGTTATTAATTTGAGCGTTATCTGATTGGGCAGTGAAATGTACTTTAAAAGTGCATCTGTGCTCCGTATTAAGAGCTGGAACGAAGTAAAACAGCGTACGATTTTTAGAGAATACCACATAAGGGTCTTCTGTCGGTAATAACAGTTTGCACTGGCGTATGTTGCGAACTTTTCAATGAAGTACTGCTATTTGGAGTGGTATGCCACAGGTTTGAACAACAGTTATTGGCAGACAGACAGTCCAAGGACGAACGGCTAAGTGACATAATGGGTACGTTAACCGTGCAGCATGATGGAATTCCTAAGGATGTTTAGGCCGCCGGTCAGGCATGGTTATGTAGCCCCACCTGAAGTAACCAAACACCAGTCACCCGTAGTACGGGACCGGTGGTAATGGGGAGTTTTTACAGGCGAGACCGGGGAACGCACAGGCTACGAAGTCAAGTAGTTATATGCAAAAGTAAACCTATTAGGAATTCGCGGTTGTACTTTGAGTGGTTCAGAAATAGCTGTCATAACCCCTAACAGTATTGTGTTTATCAGGTGGACTACATAAACACATTTTACTAGACCGCTTTCCGGAGCTCAGAATAGAGCAGTGCTTTTCTTTAGTGGGAGGGCTAATTGTTTGTGGGGTATGGAGGTACCGCGATTGCATCTACCCTCACTGCCGTAAAGCTTTCAAGACTGGTTTTCCAGAATGCTGACACCCCGGCGCATCAATGCAGCACAGTTCATGACCCCAAAGATTTTGACCGTACTGTAACAAAGTAGATTTTTGGGTTATTCGCGAAGGATATAATTTTAGAAAACAAAATTACGCAGGCTTTTCGGTGTATTCCGGTGACAGGATAGAGTGACACCAAATATCACAGACGGCACTTGGAAGCTAGCTTCAGCTGCACTTTAGCACAAGGCTTCGCTTGCCCTTTAGTGCTAAATTACTTATATTTCCGGGAGCTTTTAGTTAACTCACCTAAAAGTGCATTTATCGAAAATAAGACCAATTAAGCAAAATAAAATACGGCTTCCACTTGACTTCTGTAGGTAACGACGGTCAGCGGTGGATTTACTTTCGCTTTTCTGCCAAACTAACGATGGCTTACATTCTGCCACGTCCTCGAATAGCATTGGTGATCGATTTGCTAATTTGAGTTAATTTACGGAAATGTACATATTATTCGTATCCTTTCAGCTGCCGCAGAAGTTTCAGTTTTTCCTCGCCCAAACATTTTTGCACTTTTTTTCACTGTAAGCAGGTAACAGAAATCTTTCTTGTTGGATTAGTAGACTTTTTTATCTTCGCTATTCTTCTTAAATATTCTTTTTTTCAAACGCCAGGTGGACGACCCCAGTGTTCAGAGTGACAGCGCCGAGTCTCATAAATCCTTCGGTGAGATAGAGGTAAGTCGGGTAACTTGAATGCGCCACCAGGATATTCTTAATCATTTCTAGAAAAAAAACACTTTTATTTCGCTTTCCCGGTAAGACGGCCAACTTCAAATTCTTTCAAAGTGGGGCCAGGGTATGACTCGTCAACCTCAATTTCATATGGACCTCTTTAACTACTGATTGCGCGTCACCCTTTGATTTTGTATTGAGAGGTTATCCTTGAACTCTAAGGCAGAAACTGAGGTAATTGTCTAACCTACAACGGCGCCAAGTTGATGAACGAAGTCTCCGCGTGACCTTATATATACCCATAAGAAATTAACAAGACGACAATCTGGAGCTCAGCGGTAAAACAGTGGACTTTAAACAAACAAATCAAACGTCCTCGCTGTCAGTCACAGCCGCCGAATAAGACAGGATGGACCCATTCCGCTCTTGCTTCTCATTGTGCGTAGACTTTTCAACACACCAGGACGTCAAATTCGAATTAGTTAACTGATCTTTGAATCCAAAATACGTAACTGCTCTGTGCCACCTGGGTAAATTCCTGTGAGAAAAGATGACGGTAATCATTCTTACTTATCAAGAGACGGGGCCCAGAAGACAGAGGGCATAAACGGATTCCTTGAACGCTTTCTCTCAAGTCTTCCGTCTGCCGTGAATTCACCGTCAACTTAGTCGACTCGGACATTACCGAAACCTCCTGGTAAAGTTGGCAGTTCTGGGAGGATGAGTAGATTGAGAAGGGAAAATAGTTCGTTGAAAGAAATTTATTGTACTGCTGACGTCATGAAGGGCTTGGCCAGCTCAGCACTGTCAAAATACACAAAATAGAACAGGCCTCCAAATGACTTGCCGAGCTAGTTGACCTAGAGCCGGATGATTTTTGTCTTCTTTCGCTTCCCCGGCCTTCTGGTGGATATTTAGCGGGCCTAACAACTGCGTCGGTGGGGGCGGGGGAAATTGAGCTTCCGTGGAAACCGTTCGGTTTGGTGGCTCTTTTTCTTCACCCGCTTTCCGGTCATGTCTACTCAGGTTTTATTAATTCTATGTGGCCGTCTTGTCCCTGTTTTGTGCAAATAACGATGCAGGACACTATAAGCCGCAGGAAAGTCAAGATGCCTGTTGATGAAGTTGGCATCTGATTACCTCAACTCAAGTGCGCCTCGCTGTGTCCTTGGGCTGACCCGGCTTGAGATGGTCGCTCCTTGGATATCTGAAGTACGGTCAGTTTCTAAATGTGAGCTGCGGGCTGAAAATTCGGGTCTAGTTTCAAAGTTGCCTGTTTGCGCTCGTGTACACGAGTCTACAACTTATGTTCGTTTCTCCTGCATAAATGCTGTACCCATCATCGCAAAATATTTTGTGGACAACGGTTTCGTAGCCTTCCAGTTGCGATTTCGCTCTCCTTATCCTCTTAATCCAACAAATGGCTGTGTCGGTGAGCCCAGGTTCTAAAAGTCTTCAGGTCGTATATTTTTCACTGAGACGACCGCAGCGAATTCCAGGGTGCCGGGGATTGGGCAGTCTGTCGCTGACTTTAGAAGTATCACTCATTTGCACCTTCCTTACCATTTTAATTCAGCGACTGACTGTGTCACGGGGGCAGGAGTGCTTATACGCCAGCATCGGCTACCTCAGGCATCGGTTCACACGAGCTTCCCTGCGCGTGCTTCAAGCCCTGCTTGCGCCCTCTCTATTATCTCAATCCAGCGAGCGGCTAAGTAGACTTGCTAATGGGATTACTCGCACGGCGTGGAACTCCGTCGGTTCTACTACGATAGCCATGCATTGCGAATTACCACGCGGTGCCCTCCGTAACCTTCCAGTTGTGATTGCGCTCTCCTTATCCTCTTAATCCAACAAGTGGCTGTGTCGGTGAGCGGAGATTCTAAAAGTCATCAGGTTGTCTATTTTTCACTGAGACGACCACAACGAATGCCAGGGTGCAGGGGATCGTGCAGTCTGTCGAAAATTCCTAGAACAGCCAAAATGGCTATTTCGTGCTTGCCTGCTATCCTCAGCCAGCCATGTCGTTGCTCTTGGACGGTCGTCAGACCTTAGCCTGACAGCTCACTAAACGATAACATACGGGTTCAAACCGCAGACCTGTCTTGACAGAGGTCCACGTGTACCCAGATGACTGATGGTGGCAAACGTGTCAGGAATGGCGTCTTTAACTTTCCTTCTTAATGGCAACAAACTTACGCCAGTTTATTGATCACTTGCCACTCTTCAACTTTCCACGGCGGTTCTGGCCTTCGGAGCTTCAACTTAAAGTGGAAATTTTTGCATTCCGCAGCGCATTCCGGCCAGGTCGGCTAACTGCACAACTTGGCGCGAACATTATTCCATGCAACAACTAAGCACTGCTTGAGAATCGAAGGGGTGCGCTTAAAGAACAACCAAGATAATTCATCCGTGCCTGATGGACCACTGTGAATGAGACTATCATGACCAATGCAGTTCCCCCCATTCCTTCACTAACTGCCTTCTTCTATGTGCCCGCGTAAGAGTTGATGACGTGTTGCCTTTGGTCGTCCCCGACGTCGATTTACCATCGCACCGCTCCCAGTTGCGGCAGGGGGGAAGGGAGGGAGAGCGCGACAATTATTTTAATGCTGCTCCCGAAAATACCCCCCACTTTCCCAGCACTTTCACGTATGCAATTTAATGCCTTTGATGATGTGTTGCGTTTAGCGTATCCGCTTCCTTTTCGGGCCGGCAAGTGTGATCCATTCAGAGGCCAATAATTACCTGCGCTCCCTTAACATGAAAGGGTGAAATCACACTTACCTTCACTGCCATCCAGATCTGAATTTATAAGCCCCCAGATGCAGCGCAATAAGATATCTCAAAGATGAAAGCTCGGAGTCGCAAATGATACGCTGTTCGACGGCAATCCACCGCATTTTTCGTCTTCTGACGTTTGCCGCAATGACCCACTTTTAATGGCCGCCATTGTACACGTAGAGTAGGTGGGCTAACTCATGAAACGTCAACCGGAGTTCCGAAATGCGTTTTCGTTTCGAAAAGATTAACTAAGTAGTGTTGTAAAACTAATCATCATGCAGCATAATTCTATCGCAATTCAGCTACCTCGGGATGTCTGCTTTCAAACGAACTTCTTTTCGGCTTCATGCAAAAACTACACTCTGTAAAAAAATGACTGCTTAGGCAGCATGTATTTTTCCCATTTATTTTCGTTGCCCCTAAAAGTCCAATTATATTTCATGGAAAACATGCACACAACTATTCATTCTTTTGCTCATTCGGTAGACAGTTACGTCACTGCCACTAATGCGGCAGGTAAGAACACAAGTGGCTGTGGTGTGGCAAAAAAGATTGTCAGCCTAGGATGAGAGCTAAGGTCAATACAAACACGTGCGATGACAGCTATCGTCCGAAGCACGACCGCGAATAGACGCAAACCCGTTGTAACAAGATCGTCACCGCCTATGAGTACTGTGAGGCGCGGTACAACACTCACCTCCGTCCATGAAAGTTTGTTTCCTTTTGAAACGTCAGGGCGATATAACTATGGTTCCCGAGATCGCCTCTTCGGCTTATATATATATATATATAGAAGAAGACGGGAAGGCGATCGCTGGGACCAGTGGTTTATTTGTCCGACGTTTCGAACTCTCACGCGAGCCCATCGTCAAGGAATGAAAATACTGTACAACTCATCGCATATTTAGCTCATCTCTGCCGGGAATGACCTCCAGCTGCGCTGCTGATTCGTTCACGCAGTGCTTGATAAGCGATTGGCAGATCGATATATATATATAGAATAACATTTCATTATTGTGCATATAATAACCACCGCTGTGCGGCTGTTTGTTGGGCTCCAGAGCGAGCTTCAGTACACAACGTGACCAATGAATTCCGTAACTCGATCGGTGAACGCCGCTCTATTAACATATACATATTTTATGGTACGCGAAGGGTCTGGTGAATAACCCATTCTCCCCAGAGATCGCATAACCTCCTTTCACATATATAAATCAAGGGATGAGGAGGGACACAGCTCACAGCCCCCCCCTCTTGACTTCAACAAAATTTGCTTGCGTGCTAAATTGGTGACATCAATTAGAATTAGCAATTTTGCCGACAAAAAATATAACCGATGGCAAAGACTTAGTGGCGGAAATAAAGTAAATGATAGACGGCGCTGGTGATGAGGAAAGCGAAACGAGGAACCGATTAGGAGAGAGAGAGAGAGAGAGAGAGAGAAGACACGTTCGATGACGATGTCGAGTGTAAGGAAGACGGTCGTCATCATCATCAGTATGAACACCGAGTTGTTCAGGCGCTACTTCCGGCTAATAAATGCGCGCTGTTTCTCCGATGTCTGTTGCGGAAGCCGTCATCTCGCAGGAAATTATCTTTTCTCTCTCTCGACGGGCCTCCGTGTTCTTCTGAAGCGCTGCCGCGCGCAGCTGCAAGACTCGCCTTAAAGGAACCTATTTTCGACAGAACTGAGGCGGGGCACCTAGCGTGTGTGTCTGCCTCAAAGCTCTTCGTGGATGAAATTCGTTCGGTTTTTGCGAAATTCGACTCAAAAAATTGTAGCCCGATGTATTTGATCAAAGCGCTCTGTCCGCGTTTTTGTCAACTATCGTTATATTCTTGGCTGAAGCGGGCTATGGAAGGAGGGGATTTTATACAGCCACAAAAAAATCTTGCGTCTTCCCCGGCGTACCTCATGAAATGCCCACCGTAATCCTCAAACGCAATTGCAGTCAGAGAGGACTACTTAGGGTATTTTATAAGAATGATCATCTCATGCAGCATAACTATAAGATATTTCTGTCACGGCAGAATACCGGTTTACTAATGAGCTTCTTTTCTGCCATCTGCGTAAGTCACACTTGGTAGAAATGACAACCTAGGTAACATAATTTTATCCTGAAGAAGGAGACACGATCGCTGGGACAAGAGCTTTATTAGCCTGATGGCTCGGTTTCCTTCTCGAACCCATTCTTAGAGACAATAGCAGGTACGGGTGACCCATATTTACTATTGTCTCTGATGGTGGGTTACGGAATTCACTGGAGTCCAACAAACTAGGGTCCAACAAACAGCCGCACAGCGGTGGTTATTATATGTACAATAATGCAATGTTACTCTATATTCGCAACGTCAGGCTGATAAAGCTCTTGTCCCAGCGATCGTGTCTCCTTCAAGAATACTTCCTGAGACTTGTCTCTTCACTTCTATTGGCAATAATTTTATCCATTGATATTGGACGCCCTTGTGGACTTGAGTGGACAGTAGATGTACTAATTCATGAAATGTCAACCGAAATTCTGAAATACGTTTTCGATTCGAAAATATTACTTAAGTAGGGTTGTAATATTAGTCACCGCACAGCATAATCTCATGATAATTTTATTAGTTCTGGTTGCCGACTATTGAACGGAATTCTTAGCAGCCGCCTGCAAAAACCACACTCAGCGAAAAAGGACAACTTAAGTAGCACGATTTATTCTCACTGACTTCTGATGTCGCTAAAAATTCAAATATATCTCATAGGAAACTTTCATTTAAATACTCATTCTTTTATTCGTTTAGTAGAAAATTACGCCTTTAATTTCTTCACTTGGAAGAAGTATATAATTTGGTTTTCAAAAACTTTTCCAATTCTCGAATAATTTTGAACTTGATCTGCGTTACACTTCCATCCAGGGTTTGCGAACTGCAAGTTGTAGATTTTCCATGTACAGAAAACCATACGTTTCTCTACCGTATCAAGAATTGACCATATGGAGTTCATAAAATTAAGCAGTGGATTTGGGCCGTATTGCAAATGCAGAGACGGTCTAAAAATTCTCATAATTGGAAACCGTTGCAAAACCGAATTGTACCCTTCGAAAGTCAGTGAGAATAAATCGTGCTACATAAGTTGTCCTTTTTCGCTGAGTGTGGTTTTTGTAGGCGGCCGATAAGAATTCCGTTCAATAGACGGCAACCTGAACTAATAGAATTATCATGGGATTATGCTGCGCGATGACTAATATTACAACCCTACGTAAGTAGTCTTTACGAGTCGAAAACGCATTTCAGAATCTTGGTAAACATTTAATGAGTCAGCACATCTACTTTACACTAACTTACGTGAAACCCGGAATTGGAACTTGTCATCTGAAAGGTCTTATTTTTATTAGTTGTAAGTTTATTTGCTTTCGGTAATTTACTTAGGATAGAGGTAACAGTATCCTTTAAAATCTCCGTCTAAGTCAAGGACCGCAGCGCGTCTAATCCAAAGATTTGCGGCCAGCAATTGGGGTTTAGAATATCTTCCACAAAAAACCGACTGTATAGGGGTTCTGATGGATTACTTGCAAAACCTGCGTTGATTTTTACAGCCTACTTTGGCTCTGGCAAGGATGGATCGACATATGCTCTCTTATACCCAGAGGGGGCTTGACATTTTTGTCATCTGATAACTTCCTCGTTTGCCCTATCTAAGCAACATCCTGAAAATGTGGAAGCAGAAATCCATTCACTTGCCGAATTCCAGGTATCAATAACACTTTGATGTTTCGGCTTGAGTCATTCATTAAAAGCACACTGATATCGTCTGCTAGGAGGTTCTCATAACATTTTTATTGCTTCCAGTTGATTCTGACGTTTGACGACTACGATCAGAGCCTGACAGTCCATGTGGCTAGAGCTCGTGGTCTGCGTCCAATGGATCTCAACGGACTGGCGGATCCATTCGTAAAGTTACGTCTCCACCCGGACCCAACTGAGGAGTGAGTTGACTTCCTTTTCGAGAACTTTAAAAGGCACCTTGTCGCTACCTCTCATATTCAGTCATAGAGTTGATGCATGATAGTTCTCCTATAACTATGATGCTTACTTATATTAGCGCTTATGGTGCTAGCAATTCCAAAAGCATTGTCTCGTGTCACAATTTAATTGTTTTACATGTGAGATGGTTTTCATGCTTTAATAACTTCGTTTAAATTAATGTCTATGTCGAGTTAATGGAAAAATTGAAAGTACAACCCCAAGGTGACTTAAATAGTTCTCACCCATTTTTACTCCGAATATTCACTGTAGCTCTTTTAATAAAACACTGTCTTGGCAGCGACTGGTGCGGTTGGGCGTTGACCAACATTAAGGCGCTGAACGCGATAAAGCATACATGAATCCCAGCATTAAATCAGACAATGGTGGCATCTGGTCTAATTCACGTAAAATACGCATTCAACTAATCGAAAAAATGGACTGAGTAACCTGGTCGGTCGGTTAAATTTAGACAGCTTAGGTGCGGCAGTATTGGCATTTTGTGGATGTAGCCTGAAGTACCTGTTCTGTTTACCGAAGATAAATAGATATCATGGAATTTTATTAAAACTAGCAGGTTTCTGATAAACATTGTGTAATTTTTTAAATGCCGTGCAGGAACTGCGGATTAAAAAGTGTGACCCAATAAGGGCTCTTGCGAGTAGCCTATCAGGTTTTTTCGTGAATACGGTGCTGCCCTGCATGTTTCGCACTTTGAATTCATGTTTTTTTATTAGAAAAAAAAGAAGGTACATGTCGCCAGGACCCGCAGTATAATATCATTAAAATGGATTTGAATAATCTTCTAAAAGCAGGAGCCGAAATCGGCTCAACACAGACCGGACACGACAATTACGAGAAACATTCAGCTTTTTAACCCCCTCACAAAATTAACTTGCTAACCAGGAACCAATCATCCGTAATATTCGAAATACTTTCGGACTGAACTTGTGAATTTTCATTTTAAACTACTCGCTCCTAGTTATCTTCTGAGGAGACTAGAAAGTTGAAAACTTGATAGCAGTTTTCTACTCTTTCGGAACTGAATTTGAACACCAAAGCTGTCTGTGTAATGATCGCCCCATGTGTGAGGTTAACATAGGTAGGTGTTAAACCTGTCCAGTAGAATTCGGTGTTTTGAGAAAAGGAGGACTCACCGGAACAGATTTTCTGAGTGCATACACCACTGGCTGCCCGTTGGCAGCTTACGTATTTCATGCAGTTATCCCGACAACGCTGCGGTAGTTCGGCTCATATATTCATTGCCTGTAAAGTTTCATTCAAATTTAGCGCATTAATTCTTAAGGAGATCGAAAAACCGAAATTTTAAAATTTTTATACTAAACAGAATGCTTACGGCAAACCGATGAGACGGTCTCCTCGCAGTTGTGTCGTGCAGCGGCGCAAGGTCGGTTAAACACATGTCTAAACTTTCAGCGGGCACTCGCGCTGACAGAATGGGGAAATCGCGTAGCGGCAGGAAATTCAGTACCTTTTCGGAGTATGCGAAAGTATGTCCTCAAACGGGCAGTAGTATGACCCCCTGGTTATTAAATTTAGTCATTTGAGAAGAAATAAATGAAACACAGGTCTGAGTAGGACACTTTCTCAGTACTATGTCTATGGGAAGTTTTCTGGCACACCGAAACAGGACACCAACTAAACTGGGACGACTGCCCTCATTTTTACTCCTAAAACTTACTGCTCTACAGGACATATGCTATCGGTTGCAATATTTAACAGGGGAAGTATGTTTGTAAACGTAATATAATATTGTGAAGGATAGGGGTCCAGTATTCAGCACCACTTGGCAAATCAACACTCAAGGTCCTTTTCGATATGGAAATGGTAGTAATTAGGAGGCTTTATGGGTGGATAAAAGATGGTGATAAGGAGCAAAATGTGGAGGAGGCATAGAGAAAAGTAGTAAATAAGCAGAGATTAGTCTTAGTGCTTTAATTCAGCTACCGAAAGCAGCGCGCGATTCAAATAACGGTTTGTCTCGGCAAGCTCAAGGTGTCCGCAACTTTGGAAAAAAAAGCCTACTGAAAGCCAAGCATTAACCGAACCTAATGCAACCGGATGGTTTCTACTCTCCGCCTGAAATAGGTTATTGTAAGAGCGGTATTCGAAAGTCAACCCGACGCCGAAGTGCGTAGGTAGTAACCCAAGCTGGTAGTTTAAATCGGAATCTTAAACCGTAACCCCTTAACTGATCTCAACCCTAACACTAAAACCGGCCAAAACCCTGACCCTAAGATCACGCCTAACCCTAAACCTAACCGTAACCCCAACCCACAAACTAACCCCAAACAACAACACCGAAACTAACCTTAACACTGAAACTAACCCCGCCCTAACTTTGTAATTAAGCCAACCACTTACCAAAACCTTAATACTGAACTCTTACCCCATACTCCTGCCGTAAACCCATGGACCGAATCCAGTCCACACAACATCTCTAAAACCGTCTGGAATGATTGCAAAACAGGTTTTGGTCTCTTGGTTCCCCTCCGAACTCTTGCACTGCCCGCTAACCCACCCTCTCCCCCCCCCTCGCGGCACAAATCTCACGGTCCTAGTCCCGATCCCAGAAACTTAAAAGCACCACACAGAACAACCTGATCGGGCAAAGTCCAAGGAACTCAAACTACACATAAAAACTGCATTATTGGATAAACTCTGATTCTGAAGCGACATTTGACACTACCCGGCTTCGATGCTATCGGTGTTCGTATCGCCTACCTACCGACACCAAAAGGGGCATGCGCGCCAGACCGAGAGATCCCTCGAATGTACCGCCGGCCTATTTGCTAGTTAAGGCGTTACGCTGTATTCCGCTCTCGGTGGGACATGGCCATAGGTACCCGCCGTTTACTATCGGTCCTGCGCTTACCCCCCGGGGGCAATCAGGGTTAAAGTTAGGGTGTTTAAATAGGCGGCCAGGGGATTTAGCGCAAAGCCACCGTAGCAAACAGTGCATCAAGCACCGCACATCCGTCGTGTTTCGACCATTTTCCCTACAGTGTGCTAATTCTACCATAGGGGACTCCCATAGACTATCACCGCAGAATGACAACTGATCGCGCTTTTGGCCCGACTAATGGGATTCGAAGGGCAGCTTTAACGATTAGTTCAAGGACCACCGATGCCACCTAACTGTCTCCGATGCAATTGTTTACGCTGTCACCCTAGTGTGCTGTTTGACGTTTCGAATGTCATGGTATTCGACAGTTTGTCACCAGATCTTAGTGTCGGGATAGTATAATCGACAAGACAAAGATTCCCAAATCAGAAGTCAGGGAAGACAGGTTGGGTTGGACAACCTTTATTTCTGAAGAAGTGTGCACTCAAAGGCTCTTCAAGCAGTCACCGCGAGCGGTTTCGCCAGGCATGCTGTGTTGTCTGTGTCCGCCGTTGAGGTGCTCATCCCCCCGCACGTGTGTGCCCTTCGCTCTGCCTCAGCGTATTCGCCAACCAATCAGAGAAGGGGCATAAATTTGAAAAAACATGATTCACTACCAAATGAGTAAAAGAAAGGGTGATTTGAGCATATTTTAAAAAATTAACCTATAAGGATACTCAAAACCGAGGCGTAAAATTCCTACTGCATATGTAGCATTTTTTGTCAAAATCGAATTTCGCAGGCGGTTAGAAAGAAGTTCATTCAAAAGTCCGTAGTTTGGCGTGGCAGAAACATCTTGAAATTACGCCCCATGATAATCAATGCCACAATCCTACCCAGGTTATCCTTTTCTGCCCAGAGGCACATTTCAGAATTGCATGTGATGGGCCATATACCGTAATTTCGACAATTTGCTTGTAATTGTTTTCGCCTAGGGAATACACTACACATTATGATTTGATTTGAACGTCGCTTAAAATGACTAGTTACATGTTCGAAAATACACTTAGGACGTCAAACGTTTATCTGCCATTGTTTATTTCGTTAAGGGGATAAAGTTCTGTGGAGTTCTCGGCCCTTGGCAAACACTGGCTTCGGTTTTTCGCATTGCATTTTGAATTTCATCATCATCTACAGCAGCAGATATGTTCAGAATCGTTTTGCTTAGACTAATTTGCAACTTTATGCTCTCCCCCCCTACTCCTCGAAGCATGGACTTGAACAGGCAAGTGAAGTATATCCCCAACACACTTGAGCCCGAGTGGCAACAGACTGTGGTTTTCATGAACTGCCTGAAACGCACCCTGAAGAAGCGCGTTCTCGAGGTCACCATGTGGGATTTCGATCGGCTGAAAATGAACGATTTTATGGGCCAGGCCATAATCCATTTGGCAGGTGAGAATCCCGTCGACTGTCTGTTTAGGTATTCGCCTTTAAATTAACTCACTGACTTTTACCACCTTTATCACGCAGGCCTTCAGAAAACACTGTATTACACTATATTATTATAGAGCACTACATTTCGTTGTGTTTGACATCCACAGCGGGGTTGTACCGTAGATGCTCCGGAATAAATCGGAGGTCAGATGGGCTCACTGCACGCGTTGATCGGGCTGCGCAAAGTTCACGTGACCGCATGGTGCGGCACACCCTAGACGATGGCCTTCACGCTGCGTCGACTACTGTGCACAATCTCATCGCCCGTTGACTTTAAGAGTTCATCGGTGTATGAGATACAATGAGACCGACACTGGAGAAACCACCCTTGCGATAAACCAGCGCATTCCTCATGATACACTAAGAGTCGTGGCTTGGAAGCCTGTCGACTGATGGGATAAGTCAGTCCTTCTCAGAACTGCGCGTTAGACTGTGGTACTTGCCTCTTAATGTGGCTTCTGCGGCGGTCTCACAGATGTGGAATTCCGGTCGCCTTCACAGAAGCTTGATACATACAGCGTAAGGATCGGTTTGTGTGAGAGACGCGTAGATGAGCTGGTCAGCCTTGTCAGCCACTGTGCTTGAACTGCGCTTCTAGCTGCCTTGACATTGTCTGCCATCAGAACAAAGTGCGTGAGGAAAGAGGGGGTGTCTAAGATGTTGCGCAAGTCCACCTAGCCATGACCTAACTCACCCGTAAGTCATCGCTGCTTTTGGACATGTGAAAACGTCCGCGCTTCCGACGATCGACCTGTCGTGTCCATGTTCATTTGACATCTTCTGTGCGTATACGAGATAGACAGATTTCATAGGCTACCGAGCAGGTTCGTAAAAGACTATGTTCTCGGTTTCGGTCATGCTGTTCGGTCTGCAATTAGATGTCTCTTGATTGTTGCCTAGTCCAGTCGTCATGAACTTTACCAGTAGCACGTGTTTTGATCGGGGAGATGCTTAAAGTCAGCTTGAAATGCAGGTCTTCATTTAGGCGCTGAATTTCTGACGGTCAGGCATGCTTGCATATTCCACCGCCTGTTTATAGCCTCTACTCCCACCAATAGTTTGGACAAGATTGCAAACTCGTTCTGAATCTGGTTATGGAGATAATTACTCGTTGAACGATGCTATCACAGAGCAGAAGAGAACAAGGAGATGTGGTGCCTAACCATTCGCATCCGGCCTCTAATCCATCACAAGAGTCAGCCTCAGGTAAGGATGATGATTACGCAAGGGGTTGTCTCTGATGAGAGATTTGAGTGTGAATTCGAAACGTGGGCTAATAGAACATCTGTTGCAACAGTCGTCTCTCCTTCTTTTCATCTGCCTCCTGGAACTTGCCTTCTCCTTTTTATCGGCATAACACCAACTCGATGTCGCAGCTCTTGGCAAATTCGTGGCATACTCTTCTGAATGCCGCTACTTCAAATGCACAACTATATTGTTCGTTTAAGGAATTTAGGCGTCTGATACGCTATAATCAACAAACCATGGTCCCACGTAGTCTGGTGTGCGCTGCCAGCTCTCTGACCCCTGGTTCCCTGCCGGTAGATGTGTTTGCGCTCCCGCTAGGTTTACAGGTCATGTGTATGGTTGCCCAGTTATTCTCGCCTTTCTGACTTTCTGTGCTGGTTTTGATGGCCAAAATCCTGGTCAAGTGTTTGTTGTGGATCAGGGGCGTCGTGGTACGCCTAGGTGCGGGTCTGGCCGTGCCGGACACTTGCGCCCTCTCCCGCCTCCGGTCTTCTAAAATCTGTTTTGACACGGGATTATGGTGCGGAGGAGGAGAGTGTGCGGTAGATGCTGCGCAAGTCTACCCTCACTACAGACTAATTCACGCGTAAGTCACCGTACCTGCCTCATCTTTCCTTGGAGCTCACGGTGGACATCGTCAGTTGCGATGGCCTAATTGTCGTATTGTGCGTGTGATCTAACATGGTACGGTTTCTACAGCACAGCTTAAAGTTGTTAAATCATAACATTCAAACGATCAGGCAGGATTCATATGTTGTCAAAAAAGCGTCTTTTTGAACACCCCAACTGATTGTTTTGTCATCTCGAATACGCCATGACAGACAGGAGCGAGAAAGGGATAAAAGTATACCCACTTCGATTAAAATGCTAGTGGTTTTTCCCGCAGTCATTCCTTTGTGTCCGAAAATGACCTAAGGCCAGTTGCATTTGCGGTTTGGAACACACGACCATCACCCCAGCACAGGCTAGAGGTGATAAGAAAATTGTTGTCTCCAAGCCGACTCGGATCGCCGACCTCCCAAATTCGCTTCCGGTGTTTAACAGTGCAGGCCTAACTGGCATGTCATTATTCCTATGTTTTTAAACCATCAGGAGTGCCTACTTTACTTCCAAACTAGTTTCTTCTATTGGCTTACAAAGTAAACCTCACAGACGCAGAAAATGGATAATTTTGAGGACGAGACCTGTTGCGTACCCTAATTCTAGGCCCGCGGAGTCACCTACTTCCCGTGGTCATCATTCGAGAAATGATCACTGCTCACTAATTATAACCTCTGTACGGATGGCGCACGGAAAGTAGTAAGTTTGCAACGAACTCTGGGCACTGCACTCATCACACCAAGTCACGTGTTGCCGCGTCTGGCGACAGTGGCTGCAGGCAAGGTAGAAACGTGTACTGCAGCAGACGGGCAAAAAACAGGTAGAGAGAGACAGGGAGAGAAAGATAGTTATATCAGCCGTTTTTTACGTCGGAGCCAGGCCGAGGCTCCTTGCATCTGATGGCATTACCCGAGGGGTGGCTTGCTCAAGCTGGGCGTGGACGACTGCACCTGTCTGGACGCACGTGTGTTCGGGTTGGCGTCAGTTGATTGGCTGCAGGCCAGCGCGTCGACAATTGGGCGGGTCTGGTCGTGCCGACCACTTGCGCCCTCCCCCGTCTCCGGTCTTCTTAAATCTGTCGTGACACGGGATCATGGTGCGGAGGAGGAGAGTGTGCGGTAGATGCTGCACAAGCCTACCCTCACTACAGACTAATTCACACGTAAGTCACCGTACTTGCCTCATCTTGCCGTGGAGCTCACGGTGGACATCGTCAGTTGTGACGGCCGAACTGTCGTATTGTGCGTGTGATATAACATGGCGCGGTTTATACAGCCCAGCTTGTAGCTGTTAAAACAGAGTATTCAGACGATCAGGCAGGATTCGTACGTTGTCAAAAAAGCGTCCTTTTGAACACCTGCACATTCCCCGACTGAATTTTTGTCCTCTTGAATACGCCATGACAGACAGGAGCGAGAAAGGGATAAAAGTATACCCACTTCGATTAAACTGTTAGTGGTTTTTCCCGCAGTCATTCCTTTGTGTCCAAAAATGACTTAAGGTCAGTTTCATTTGCGGTTTGGAACACACGACCATCACCTCACCACTGACTAGAGGGGATCAGGAAACTGTTGTCTCCAAGCAGACTCGGATCGCCGACCTCCCAAATTCGCTTCCGGTGTTTTACAGTGCGGGCCTAACCGGCATGTCATTATTCCTATGTTTTTAAACCATCAGGAGTGCTTACTTTACTTCCAAACTAGTTTCTTCTATTGGCTTACAAAGTAAACCTCACAGACGCAGAAAATGGATAATTTTGAGGACGAGACCTGTTGCGTACCCTAATTCTAGGCCCGCGGAGTCACCTACTTCCCGTGGTCATCATTCGAGAAATGATCACTGCTCACTAATTATAACCTCTGTACGGATGGCGCACGGAAAGTAGTAAGTTTGCAACGAACTCTGGGCACTGCACTCATCACACCAAGTCACGTGTTGCCGCGTCTGGCGACAGTGGCTGCAGGCAAGGTAGAAACGTGTACTGCAGCAGACGGGCAAAAAACAGGTAGAGAGAGACAGGGAGAGAAAGATAGTTATATCAGCCGTTTTTTACGTCGGAGCCAGGCCGAGGCTCCTTGCATCTGATGGCATTACCCGAGGGGTGGCTTGCTCAAGCTGGGCGTGGACGACTGCACCTGTCTGGACGCACGTGTGTTCGGGTTGGCGTCAGTTGATTGGCTGCAGGCCAGCGCGTCGACAATTGGGCGAAGTTGTCTTGCAACAGCAGAAGCCTTCGCGATGAAGTTGCTCAGCGTAAACTCGAGACGAATATGGCGGCCGGCCACAACTCCAGGAAGTAGGTTCAATACACGTTAATAGTTGATGTGAGTGGAGGCGAATGTTTAAAGCCCAGATGCGGCCACGCAAGCGAGCCACGTGGTAGATGCGCTGGACAAACACGGGAGCCATATCGGATTCTATCTGGCGTTATCGGAATGCGGGCTTTAACAAATGCCAACAATTCGGGATACGGTGGCAGACCCAGTCGCCGGCAGAGGTCGCGCGCTCCAGGATCCCTGCCATTCGCCCCCTCCCCCAACTTTTGTTGTTGGTTAAAATCCTGGTCATTTACTGTGTGTACCAGGGGATGTGGTGTGGAACGCCAAATTGCGGACTCGACCGTGTCATCCACCCACGCCCTTTCCCGCCTCCGGTCTTCTTGTCTCGGTTTTAACACCGGGTCCAGTTGGGGGAGGAGGAGAGAGTGCGGTAGATGCCGTGCAAGTTCACTACTATTATAAAACAAAGCACGCACAAGTCGCCGTGTCTGCTCCATCTTACCTTGGGAAACTTGGTAGACATCGTTGGAAACTACGGTCGAACTGTTGTTTGAATGGGGAAGATGGCTATTTGAGCACCGGAGCCATTCCTTTATATTTCCGAGTTTTTGAAGTCGTACGAAAATCCATCATCAGAGGTAAAGTCAGCACAAGTGACAGTCATAGGAGGTTATGTATGCCGGCGCCAGATCAGTACGTCGAAGGATTTTGCGTCTTATGGTCAGAACATTCTCCAATGCTGACTTGGTTGGCGGAAGAAATTACACCAGCCTCAATTCTTCGATAACATTCTTTCCCTGGTTTTGTTACTCTTATAGACAAGGATATCCTCGATGGTCAACCTCACTGGTTCAAGCTCCACGATCTGCGGGATATTGTGGTGCCTGGTTACAGACAGCCGGGCACACGGTCTCTTCCGCCACCTGTCACCCAATCTGAGGGCATGAAAACAATTAAGGTGCGTTCAAAGGACCCATGCATATGTCGCCTTCTTTGAAATGACCCACCGCAAGGTGGAAGCGTCAGTCTTACTTCGCGGTGCGGGCCGAAAATTAAATTTCGGTCGGATCTTATTTCGTGGCCGCATCTGCAGTAGACAAGCCCCAACCGCCTATCATACGGGATCGGCGGTAATAGGGCGTTCAACACTAATCCCTAACAGGTACGGTTACGAAATAAGACCTTTCGACTGTGGATCACCGTCGGATCTTATTTCGTAGCCGCATCTGCAGTAGACAAGCCCCAACCGCCTATCATACGGGATCGGCGGTAATAGGGCGTTCAACACTAATCCCTTACCCTGGCCCTTAACCTTAACCCCTAACCCCAACCCCTTATCTTAACCCTCAGCCCCTAGCCCTAACTCCTTACTCTAACTCCTAACACTAACAGTCCTAACTTCTAGCAGGTGCGGCTACGAAATAGGATCTTACCTAAATTTCTAACTCACTGACATTAACCATCCCCTATGAACTCATGAGACGGCATCTACACGCAATATCCTTCCTTACGAGTGGATCTTTTGTCTTCGCCAGGCGGCAACCCAAGTCACATTTGTTCGCGGTGATTTCGTGGGAGGAAGAGAGGGACAGGGGAAAAGTTCTCCTCATAACCTGTTAAACATGAAGTGTTTGGACCAGGACGGATGTATTGCCAAGGACGAGATGTCATGACAGACTTGGTGTTAATTTCGTGATCGAATCCTCAGATAAACCGAAATCTGGCCACTGGTCCTTCGCAGTCCGTATGCCAGAGCTTCTTCTCTCGCTTTTCAAGTTTCGTTTTTGAATGAAATTTAAATGACCTTGAAAGTGAATCTTGTACAGACCCTCCCGGCTGTGAGAAATACTGCTGGAAAAACACCCCTCCTCCCCCGGTAATATATGCGATTTCTGCACGGCCGAAACAATCGACGCAACAACAAAGTGAATAGAAGCGGACGTAGGTAAGGTGCAGACCCTGTAGATCCTCAGTACCAGGCATTCCATACAACAAAGCATTGACCCATTTTTCCGCAGCCAATCACCGGTTTGTCCTCATAGCAGCAGCCGATGATGTTTGCAGGGTGGAGTTCCTCTCATCTGACACTAACAAACGACTCGTAATTGCCTGCATTCTATTACTCGAACTGTAGCATTTCCAGGATGGTGGTTTGAGAGTACGTTCTTCGATGCTAGGGGGGCCCTCACCGATCGTTCTTACGGAACTCATTCATTCCGTTGTGCCTTACGAGTTCACTCTCGAGCCCAAACAGCAGCCGTACAGCGGTGCATGATATAGGCGTCAAAAGATCTGTAAGCGTCTGCTATGCCAGGATCAGCAAGCCATGACTCTCGCAACCCGGTATGCGCTGGCTGTCCTCCGATACCTGGTTCCCTGCCGGTAAATGCGTTTGCGCTCCCGTTGGGTATACAGGTGGTTGACATGACTGCCCAGTCATCATTCTCGTCCTTCTGACCCCTGTTGGGGTGTTGTTTTTGGCGAAACATCTTCGTCAAGTTTATAGTGTGGTGGCATGCCTAGGTGCGCGTTCGGCCGTGCTGGCCACCTGCGTCCTCCCCCGCCCCCAGTCTTCTTGACTGTGTTTCGACACCGGGTCCAGGCGGGGAGTGGGGAAGAGAGGGTGTGATAGACGCTCTGTAAGTCTACATTCATTATAAACTAATTCACGTGCAACTCATCCTGTCTGCTGCACCTTACTGTGTAGCACACGGTGGCCATCGTCGGAATCGACCGTGGACATGTCGGACTTCACAAAGCGATTGTTTTAAATGTGACATTGCTTCCTTAGGACATATTTACTTTCCTGTATTTTCCTCAGAAAGGGGCACAATAAAACTCACACCTTCCTCGTTACTTGAAGGCGGTGTTTTATATTTTCCTCTTTCAAGCCCAGAACCTTGGCGATTTTCACGGTGAGAGTTCCTTATCAGTCAGCTTGTTTTGTCACAAACCAAATTTTTTTTTCTGACTTTCAGCTCGTGAAAGAAATTCGGCACCCACAAAACAAACTGGCGCCAAAAGGTGAGGCTTCTTTTAAAACAAGTAAAATCATACTGTTTGAGCAGTCTTCAATACCCACTGTTAAAAAAGATAGGCTAGAGAGGGTTAGTATGGTATTTTTCGATGTAGTAATTAAAATGTCTGTTCTTTAATACAGGATCTTCTTTATGCTGACAATCATAAATACGAACCTCCATGACATCATAAACTCTGGCGTTTGGCGATTAGTTTTAGCCTTTTTGAATTCCTTCATTTCTAGGAAAATCGAAAAGTTCCTTTTTGGTTTGAAGTAAATGATTTTTTCAAAACCGTCAGGGACCGACATCAGAAAGGATTAGGAACATCGTGAGGAAACCATAGGATAGCTAAGAACGTGTGCTAAAAATAGCCTGCATTCAAATTCCAAATTCACACATTCTCACTGCAGAAAATGTGAACCCTTCGACCTATATTCACAAGGACTCAATTTTAAATTTTAAATTTATGCCTTTTAGGCCGGACGAGTTAATACCTCTGAGAACCCGGTAAGATGAAAAAATAGGTCTTGCCCCTTTTCAAGTCGGCTCCACCGCCCCTACACTGAATATCCTTGTATCCATTTCCCAGGAATTTTACTCGAGAGCAGGTTGTTTTTGTTTATTTCTTTTTAACTTCGTTTTTTCCTTCATCCTCAATCGAAAACCACCTAGGTAGAGTGGTAAGTGTCATCTGCTTTCATCGAGTCTCTCCCTGGATCAGTTCGCGTTACGAAGTCTTGGGTTGGGTTCGCAATGAACAAAATTTAGCCGAAGTCAACTGCAAAACTGGATCAACTATGGTTGACCACGTAGCCACGCGAACGCCCTCCTGAAACTATTTTCGGCAGAGTCTGTTAAATTAAATTTTTAAAATATCCCGACAAAGTTTGCTGGGGCTCGATATCAGAGACACTTTACCTGATTATTTGTACCTATACCACGGCCTTAAACACTAGGGCTCTTAATTGTTTGTAAATGTGACTCGTCATGTTCCGATTGGCTAGACAACTGTTTCCTCTCCGACTGCCCCAACCTCACATGACTAGAATCTTTCGAATGTAGGGGTGGATTTCACTTCATTAGAATCACTGCAGGAATTTTTTACCTCGCAAACCTCTGCATCACTTAGTGCCGTCTCTTCATGTGTGTCTTGGAGACGAGCGCTCTTGTGTAAAATTTAAAAAATTTGATAAAAAATTACAGTTAATTCAAATTTTAAATTGCCGTCGCCATTCCATCAGCCCCCGTCCCATGAGATTACTCCTATTGACGGGCCTCCAGACGTCCTAGTGATAGACAGGATAACTCCTGGTTCAGTCAGCATTCCTGTACGGGTGCAAATCATGAGTCGTGTGACATAAAAAGACTCGACAAGAAGTCTCCTTTCCCTGCGCGAAGTAGACAGTATTATACTACGGCGCTTCCGTAAACGGCCATGTTGATCTTGGGAAAGTTGTTAGAGTACGTCGCAAGTCGACAAACTTAGAGTAATTAGGCTAACAGTATGGGGGAAGCACTGAGAGTGGGACGCATTACTCTGTTAATTAGCTGGACGGACTGACATCGAATTCGGCAGCACTAAATACCCGGTCTTTTAAATCATCGGTTAGAAACGCCTTCAAGCATGGTTTTGCAGTGGACTTCACCACATCACCTACCACGAAATAATTTTCGCCCTGACCTTCCTTTTAAGGATATTGATTAGAAATATTTTCAGAGCGAAACCCCAGGTTCTTACACGATATTTTGCTTTCAAGTGCTCTGCGAAGTTATCTGCTTAAACCATTTGAACTTTCAGAAATTGTTTTGTCGCTCTCAAAATCGACAAACTAAAGCATCCTGAAATTACAAAGCATAAGAATATTCGTCTTGGCTAGCTGAAACTGCAAATTCTAATCGAATGCGTAAATAAATTTTTGTGAGGTTGAAGTCACTCACCGCACAGGCAAATTTCCTTCAAATCATCTGTCTATAGTATTTTCAGCCCTTCCAAAATTTCTGCGATTCTCCAATCTTTGCCATTTATCAGCGTAGTTTTGTTGCGTGGTATACTATTTATAGGACGCGGATGACAAGCAATCCCCCTGAAACAGGTCTAACCGACCACGTCCAAGGCTCCGTCATCAGTCCTCACGATTGGTGTGATAATACTTGTCATATTTTAAATTCCGACATGGTCCACCGAGTAGTGTTCAGTCCTCTCACGAATAATTCCTCCATCATCGAACCTTAGTGTTCAGGGGGAGGGAGTTGTTGTGTTTGCCGGAGGACGAGGACTCAAGCAGTTCGAAGCTCATGAAGATGTCACCTCTAGCAAGGATTCCAGCCTCCTCGACCCCGTCGAATGAGCGTTGCTTGAAGAACTGGCTTCATTTTACCTCATTTTTACTGCTGCTGCCGCCCGGTTTTCCTAGTTCATTGAAGGCAATGCTATTGACTGACGTCATTGTTTGGAAGTAAGGCAAACCCGCCGATCGAATCCGCGGGTGTGAGAACGACAAAACCCCTTACAGTCTCATCTAAGTGATAAAGGTTCTTCATTCGGCTGGGCGTGATTCCCACCACTCTGTTAATTTTTTGTTGCTGCAGTTACTGCTACTGATGAGCATGGTGGT